TGTATACCAGACAATTTATCCGTACCGATTAGCACGCACTTCATAACTTCAATAAGATTTACTTGAGCCACGAATTCTTACATACCCTGGGTGAAGTTTTTCTGCATCATCCATCTCATCTCATGTTGACTTTCGAATAAATTAAATGCCGGAAACGATCCCAAATTAAATCGGATGGACCCCTAAGGATTCTGCATTCAATTCTGACCGTTTTTTTCCGGATGATCTTCGTTGTGAATCCTCGTTATCGAGTGGATCCTTATGATCGCTCGCGACTCTCAAGAATTTTGTGATCATGTTGGAAGATGATCAGGATCTGGAGGTGTTCGACCTCCGCCACGATGGCCCGGACCGCAGACCGAACAACACCCGTCGCCGGACCGTGTCTCGCGACCGCGACCCGTTAGTGAAGGACCGTGTCCCGTCTAAGACGGGATGGTCCGAGAAGCAATCGCTCGAGACGCGCAAGAAGAGCCTCGAGGCGCCGCCCAGCGCAGCGCCGTCTATCTACCAGCAACTCGTGGGGCTGTTGCTCAGCGACCCGCCTTCCTCCTTCGGTTAGTGCTGGGGGCTCACAGAGCCATCGGGGTGAGGGACTCTGGGGTGGGGACCCATGGTCGTTAGGGGACACGTGATAGTTGGGGTGCAAGTGCTTAGTGGTGGAGTGCATATGCTGGGACGTAAGGTATCATTGGTGATGTGAGGTATTGCTACCAGCCCACTTTGGTGAGGGCGATAGTGCTGTGGGGTTAGGGTATCGTGCTGTGGGATGGGGGCTTTCATTGTTGTGAAATTACGGTGCCTCTGTGGAAGGGGAGTTACAAGTATTGCTGGGTGAACTAGGAGAGCTATGAGACGGGGTTGGTGAAATGCGTAAGGTAAGGTTGGGCCACCGTTTTTGTGAGATTCTGTTACTAATGTGAGATAGTGCGATGAAGAGTGTTTGGATTATGGGAGGTTAGGTTGTGCCGTGGTTGTTAGGGATGAGTGGGTCGAGTTGTGAAGAGTGTGTGGTGTCGGGGCTTCATGAGTGGGTTTTGTTATGTTGAGAAAGGAGTGGATAATATCGGGTTTTGAGGGATCTGGATTGCTTTGGCTGTGAGGGGTGGGTATTGTCGGTGTTATGACTGGTGGGCAGTGCCATGGTTGTAAGGGGTGAACAGTGGTGGGGTTGTGAAGGATGGGTGTTGTCATTTTACGAGGGCTATTGAGTTAAACACGCCAGTCTCCTAGCGCTGCCCCGCAGCTGCCATGGGTCAACATGCGACGCCCCTCCTCCACCACCGCGCCCACATGGCAAGGAGTCCGGCGCGCTAACCTGTCCTCAGGTGCCTCTCCCTCCTTACTGTATTTCAAATTTTGTTTTAATTTATACTTTTATACCTTATTCGTGGTTCAAATCAAACAATGTTCCTTTATTTTAATTTTAAAGTTTTCGTGGTTCATTACCAATTTGAAAAGATATATTTTTCATGAAAATGTACGTTTTACAATTCAGGTTTTCGAGCGTGTTCGTCCTGGTTTTCATGTACGAATAACTGTATGCAAGCGTTTCTTGTTTCCGCTGATGAATTACCAGCAAACAGGTGACGCTATACTGCCAATATTATTTATATATTTTTGTTGTCACAACTTACAGCGTCTTGAATCCGTTTGTAAGCATCGTGATGCTAGTTGCGCGTGCTGACGCATATAGAGGAATGAGCGAGATTTTGTCCAAATTAGCGATGCAGTTTTTGCGTTTTGGTCATCTTGAACAAGTTGTGCGGGACAAAAGGTACTACGCACAAAAGCGTGTCCCCAGTGTGACAATAAGATCCATGCATTTTTCTTAGTATATGGTCAACTCTGTCAGACCTGCCTATATATTGGGCCTGGTGTTGCAATGGCACTCATTTGGTGCGCTCGGACGCGCCTGTCACTTTGATGACGTGATGACGACGCGTTGAGTTCAAGTGACAAGGTCTTACACGTCAGTCATGGCCACGTTTGTCAGGCACTTTAACATGATTGATGGTTCTTCTGTAGGACAAGTGATGGCATTTGCTGTCACTGCCAGCGCTGGTCCGCACTGCCGACTAGTGAAAGCATATGCTGTCACTTGCTGCATTTGCCGTCTCCCCGCAGCATGACGCATTTGTGTTACGAATAGTTTAACTTTAGTTTTTACCTGGCTCGTGCATTAAAATATCCCGATCCTCCTGCTCGCATTTCAGAACTGTGAATTATTTAGCGAAATTCGAAAGTTTGATGCTTTTAATCCAGTTATCGAAAACATTTGCGATGTCATGTGAAGATTTTTGTGCGACTGAAGTACAAGCCGCAGACGTGTTGATGAACTGAATATTATGAATGCAAAATGAATCGAAGTTTAAACTGTGTAAATTGACAATTTGTTCTTAATACAAATTTATTTATATTCATATTCTTCATTCATATTCTGCTCGAGTGTGGGTAAATTTAATGCCAGATCGAGTGAGAGTTCTTCTAAGATCTTGTTTGCGTAGATTACACCATTTGCATTTCTTCAGTCGATGAATCAATGGCCGGCATTTTCTTACTCTTTAACAGCTGTGAAAATCATACCTACATTATATAAAATGAATTAATACAAAAATTATACAAAATAATAAGAATTATTCAAAAATAATTTATGAAGTTAAATAATTTCTCGTGAGGATTTAAGTTGACCGCAGCGTGCAAGGTCTTTGTCGATGGCCTGATAGCGGCTCGCGTCAGAGCTCATCGATTGCTGCTTAACACCTGCCGCTCGCTCTCGCGCACGACCGCAGACACGGCACTCGGGTTCTGTAAACGCCGACCACCTAATGGCCGGCATGGAGAACTGCTCCTCAATGCTCACTATTCCTGTCTGTGGATAGTGTGGAATGGCCGACAGTAAATAGTCTGTAACACGAGTAGTGTCGTGTTCTGTAAACACCCACCACCTAATGGCCGGCATCGAGAACTGCTCCTCAATGCTCACTATTCCTGTCTGTGGATAGTGTGGAATGGCCGACAGTAAATAGTCTGTAACACGAGTATAGTCGTATCCAGCGAACATAGAAGTCGATGACAGGCTTTAATTAAGAACTTGTTTTAGTCAGTGAATGGTCTGTAACTCAATAACTTGTGCCGAGTAAACAAGAACTCGGTGGTTGGTGCAAACCTGCTCATGCGTTGACTTTGCAAGTAATTGCACATTGGCTATAAAGCCCTAGCTTGTTACTTTTAAATATAGGCAAACTTCATTGCAGTTGCTATTCAATAACGGATCCTATCTTATGATATCCTCTTGGCTTTGAAAGCATTCGTTGGTTGAATGCGAAGATTTCTGATGGTATTTGAATTTGAACTCCTTATAAAAATTGATATAAGCTATTTTTCTCATTTGGACGTCCAACTCATAAAACACTTGACGCTGTATATTCATAGCGACTTTTATTCTGTTCTAAATCTGTGTTTGTTAGCAATATTTATGTTCTTAGCTGGAATATACTTGAATACTGGTTGTTTTGTCCGTAGATTTGCCAACGTTCGGTGTGGGATGGGAATTTTAAAACTTTAGATCGTCTACAATTATACTACGTCTTTTGATTGCCACTAAAATCAAATTCTCATCGCACAGTGGTCGCTCATTTTGTAACTCTTTCAAAATATCGTGACAATTATTATAACATAGAAATCGCAAAAAGATTAACGTTATCCTTAAAAACTGACTACTTGAATGCGGAAAATTTCTTAGTCTGGGCGATTAAGGTTCAGTCGTCATGAAAAAATTCGATAATTTTTGAGATGCAGGGTAAAGCTCCAGGATTTCTAAATTGGAGGTTCTAGAACCAATCTAAGCAAAACGGTAGTAACGATATATTGATAACTGTAAAGGTGTAACGAAGATTCACAATGATGCAAATTTTAATTTTACACTGAGATTATTTCTAGATTTATTTTAACAGTAAAATAATTACCTGAGTGGTGAACTTGACATAAATTATAGAGCAGCGCTAACATAATAGTAGCTTGCTATATCAGCTTAAATGTTACACTTGATAATAAGATTTACAACCGGTGTCACACTGCACCGAGTGTAACAATAAAAAAACAATGATTGGATTTAATTATCTATAGAATTTGCTTGAATTTTTAATATGTTTTTAGAAGTCACTCAGACAACGGCGTCATGTATGTCGTTTATACAATACGCCCTTTACCATGTTACTACTCTATATCAATACTCGTAAAAAACAACATGTTGCATCCTAATATCAGGCGCTTGATATTTCTGATGGACTTTAGATAACGCCCAACAGCAGGACTGCATGCAATGCTCTGCCGTTGTATCGATGTTATGAGCAGCTCGAGCAACTAAAGTTCATGATCGAAGAGCTGACATTCACGCTGCAGTTTCTACTAAAGCAAATCGTGCCACCGCCCGTGAATACCTGAGGATCTTAGGCATCTGTAAAGGGTAGCCTTCTGATGAAAAAATTCATTTTTTAGATAATATAACTTTAAAGGTCTCAAGATATTTTGGTATCTTGAAGTTATGCTGATCATTATATGTACCCCACAGGGCTAAAAAATTAGATTACCTTTCTTAATGCAGTATTTTTTTATACTTGTATTTCTTATTCCGTTTAGTTTATTTATTAGCTGTTGTTTAGCAACCAGTCTACCGGAACATTAAATTGTTGCTTATTTATTTATATACTTTGTTTTCGTCTGAAAAATTGATAAATGTATTCACGGAACAATACAGGTTTCCTGTTTTTTGCTCCTGACAAAAAATTACTTGTTATTTCCAACTCTATTTTAATAAATCTTTAAAAATCACTTTATTTCATTGTAGCAAACGTAAACCAAATGTCACCAAATATTCTAGGAACAACATAGGGTCCGCTCAAACCTCCGTCAGAATTCGTTGATGTATGCAAAGGTTATTCATGTCACTGAAGGTGTCAAAAAATGAACTACATAAAGTGTGTTATTTTATCTTGCAGAGACGGAGCGGCGTATACGCGCTAACAACCCATCCTTCAACGCACAATTCCGATATGCCGTGAGTACAAACTTTTGCTTCCATCCCTCGGCTAATTTCGTCACTCATGTTATGTTATGTCAATTGTTCTAATGGTCACTTTCAATCCCTCTCGTTATGTCTACTATTTTATTATTTTTGATTCGCTTTTCATCCCTATCGCTATATCTATTGTTCACAGGAGGGCGGGGAGGGGGGTTTCCTCTCAAAACCACCCTAAGCTGAATGACAGATCTTTCTGAAACTTCGTACACATATGTAAATCACTAAAAGAAATTTTTTTTTTCTCCTTCGCATGTTTTGATAAATTCAACGTTCTATTTGCAAAATTGGGTTGAAGTTAAGATATATATAATAAAATGAATGAAAATTAATTATTATTGAAAAAGTTGTTATTGTTTTTAGGTGAGTTATTAACTGAACGAGTGAATCAAATATGATTGTGTTGTAGCGTACGAGGTGTAGTGCTGTTGTCACCTTACAGATATTCTTGTTCTTGTCATATTCCCTGCCTGCATTCATACAGTAAAATCAGACATGAATAATGTATCTAAAATGACGAGTGTGAGTACGTCGCTTTAATTAATTAATCTTATGTGTGGCGTGCCCTCGAAGTTCGTTTGAACCAGACGCCACGATAAATGCTTCGTAGAATAACAATAATAATAATGTTAACAATAATATTCCACATCACGCTCGACGCAATAAGTTCAACATAAGTGGCATCGAATGTCATGATTAAACCCTATTTTTTCCCATAAAAATGTGATGCTCGTATCATTTTTTCATAATAGACCTATAGTAAGTAGGGCGTGTTTAATAATAAATCTCTGGCGTATTTACTCTCCCTCGGATGATCCGTGAGCTCCTCCTGTCATAGCAGGATATGTTAGGCGATATGAAAGTGTAATGAAGTCTTATACTTCATCGGGTTCGTTACGCGGGTGCATCAAATATCAGCCTCCAAAACTAATTTATGGAACAAGAACAATAATTAAACAGTATTGCTAGAAAAATTGAAACGACTCTAGACAAGCTAAGTGCCCAGTCCAACAGTTAACACTAGGTGATAAAGGTCGTAGCACGTCCCAGATCCTGGGAGCAAGCGAAGATCCTTCCAAGCAAATACTTGGGATACACGGTCCCGGAGGCAGCTCACTCTCGTGACCCGCAACCCTATATTGGAAATAAATACTTTCATACTGACTGATATTATAACTTAAAGCACTTGCATGACAGATTCCATCTATGATCACTTTTTAACCAATTTACATGAAACAGAAATAGCTAATTTATTGTTAGGATACATTTGGTCTAATATAGCAGCTCACCAATAAAGGCAGTGTAAGATGACTTAAAGCACAGCAGAAGAGTGGCGCAATAAGTTAACTAGGCCTAAAAATGGGTTGTTCACGGTAGGACCTCCTCTTAACGACTGACCTAACGCACGGTATAGTCTCTCGTAAGAACGCTTTCCTTTTGGTGTCTTCTAATTTGTAACTAACAACCTTACAGAAAGAACCAGTTTGAAAAGATGTCAGTTATTCTCGAATTACGAGGTGAAACAGTATGCAATTGCTAATTTGTTTACATACCAGCATTTTGGCACGTGTAGCTCATCCGGAAGCAGATGTGTCGCTACGCTATATATGTTCGCTCTCGTGAAGCTACGGTTCTTTTGGACGATATTCAATGCTTTTGCGTATTAACTAGTTTACATTATATCTCAAGTTAGAAAGTAATATTTAAATAATGAAATTAATGCTAGCTGTTGCAAACAATTATGGTCATTAATCAAAATTAATGTTCTGCGTTGATAGTTTTTGTGCTTGACAAGAACTCGCTCTTTTACTGTCGTTGTTATTAGTAATCGCATGAAGTTACGGCGCGCTTGGCAGTTCATGCGCTGGTCGCGTGCACCGAACTGTTGACTTACATGAACTCATTTGATGATAAAACTAGCGCACTTCTTCCTTGTCCTTGAACATTCAATTGTTTGCTGCGTGTCAAATTAATCTTTGATAAACGAGCTGTACCTGTACCTGGATGAGAATTAATGCTTTGCAAAAATCTTAATAGGCTTTGCAAAAATCTGTTGGTTTGATGTTTTCGAATTCACGATGAAGTAACGTTTTAATAACTTCACAGTTTGTCTTTTATAACTGTGAAACAGCCATACCTGAACTGATGTATATGGGTATTAACTTTTTACCTTACACTTCTTCTGTCTAAAGTGAATATGACATAGTTTCACTTGCTCTGGTCACGACGATGTTTTGCTTCAGTTCTGCTTCGACCCTAGCGCCTCGACTTCCTTGTTAATGATTCAGAATTACCTGACTGCCACATGCTTCGCCAGATTGGCCATATTGCATGCTGCACGAGCTCTCACTTACTCCTTTACGGTTATTAGTATACATCTTGGTTTTCCTGATCAAGTTGGATTGGTCATCAAATAAGATGATTATCAAATGTTATTCTGAAAATCCTCGATCCAGTTAACCAGTGAAACGACTAGTTTTGCTCATTATTTAATTCATTTTTGAGTTAAGTTCCGAAATATAGATGTCTCAATTTGTTACCGGATACCGACGCTCTATGAAGTAAGGAAAATCCATGCTCGATTATATATATAACTATGTAAAGGCCTTTGTCTATCGTCAAAGGCTGCACTTATTTTGATGGATTATGGTCTCCACAGGCTGTTGTTGAAACAATGACTCCTCTAAAGAAACGATATCAGTACAGCGCTTGACGTTTATATTTTACTGCGGCCGGTGTAACCTAGAATTTAATTTCAACGTAACATGTTACAATAATGGTTGACCGTAGACACATTATTAGATGTCTCATCGATCCAGGTTTGCTGTTTTCATACTCTGATACTCATGAAATATTAAGTGAACCGTTGTGCCCCATACGAGAATTTGATCTTTCAAGTGCCCTTCCTCGTCACCCTGCGCTGCTCATTGAATCTGCCCAGAAGCTAGCAGAGCTCAGTTCACCCAAATATCAAATGGCGCCAGGCCCTCTCGAGATATATATATAGGTCGCTGGGCTGGCTTCCAATCTCAATTGTTGTTTCGACCACCACTAGTCGATGGTCTGACAGTGCGGTCTCCTCAACCCGAACATCAGCAACCAGTTCTTCATTTCTGGCGAAGACTAGATCCAGGATATTGTGTTCTCTTGTTGGCACCAGCCCCTGTTGACTTAGCCGGTGCTCCCTAGCGAATCGAAGTAGTTGTGTTGCTTGGGTTCTGTCCCTCTGCGCCGCCCTAAACAGTCCAAGTGTGACCATCGTATGCGTGGTAGGTTAAAATCTCCCGCACCCACAATATTTGGGGAAGGCTCACCCAAGTTGGTCATCTTTGTTTTTATTCTCTCGAGAGTTTCATTGAGATTTTCAGGCGGTCGGTATACGATAGGTAGCTGTACACAGTTGGATATGGGAAATGTATAGTATAACATGTTCTACATATCCACTGGAGCCTAAATGCAGGGGCACTGCATTTAGGCTTCAATGGATATGTAGAACGTGTTGCACCAGGGAGATTTCTGAGGGAGACTATAACGCCTCTTTTTCCCCCTTCCTTTCGATCTGCTCGATAATGTTGAAAGCCTTTCATTTCGATTCTCCATTTTGCATATCTTCTCTTAGATGTGACTCGGTTAGGGCAATCACCCTCGGTTTTGACTACCATGACGAAGGACTGACTACTTTTCCTTTCTATGCATTCTTACTGCGTGCACTATGTCGAGCCGCAGTGAGGGAGGCGGGAGCAGAGGGAGTAGAAGGTAGCAACACTTGAGTAGAAATGAGAGACTCCCTCAACTCAAGATTCCGCCCAATTCGGTTCTCTTCCCAAGATAGAACAACCTGCACACTCTCCGTACCTTCATTGAACAAGTGCTCATTCTTTAAGCAATTTCTGCATAAATTATGCCCTAGTCTTTACGTACCTTGCAAGTTGGTATTCTGGAAGTAGTGAACATTTGAAGTGACAAAACAGGCTGAATGAGCTACATCTTAGTACCAATTGTCCAAAAATTTAGTTCGTTGCATTCAAGACATTCTCCGGTGGATTTGCTAACACATGCTATGGCCGCCATGTTCAATGAATCAGTGCACTTTTCTTCTGTATCTTTTTATTCCCTCTCACATACTGACTTCACTGAACCAATTTACTGGCCGAACTTTATGCCAATTTACTGCAAGTTTAATAGATTAAGTGAAATGTATTTACTTGAAAAACTTATTAAGAAATCGCTTGTGTTCTTCGTTTGCACTCTTTAATCGCAATTTTTTTACTGACTTTACTAAACTGCATACTTTCCACTGGAAAACTTCATTACTAGATGCGTAAGCAGAGTCAAACCGGCAATTTTTTACAATTAGTCACTATTTACACAACATGACCCATTAATTCCCCTGAGTGCACCATTAACATAGATTATGACAAGAGGTTGTTGAAGCTTCGTAATATTTCAGTGCATTGATGTGTTGAGCAGCCTTGGCTTGCGTCGTGAATTGTTGATACCAGCGCTGCGTGGCTTGCTCTATACGGCTGCCCTGCTTCCTTATATACACTGCTCGACTGCTCCACTCACAAGCTGTTCCTAGCATCGACCTCATCGCGCCGTCCTGCTGTAGGAACTGTCATGTCCTCACACATGAGTGATCATTACGACGTACACATGAGTGATCATTACGGCGTACACATGAGTGATCATTATGGCGTACACATGAGTGATCATTATGGCGTACACATGAGTGATCATTACGGCGTACACATGAGTGATCATTACGGCGTACACATGAGTGATCATTACGGCGAGTCGAAATACCTGCGAGGAACACCAAAAATGCTAGTCTCGAGTGTTCAGCTTAATTTACTTACACAAATTGAATTATTTGAAGAAGAAAATTTTGCTAGGATAAATTTTTTCCAAAGATGAACATAAATATCGCAATTTCACCACCGCATCACTCAAACGTTGACTGATTGCAAGTTTATTTTATACGTTTATGATTAATTGCATCTAAAAGAAGTTAATGTGTTTAATGTCGTTTTGAAATACATGCTGCATCATTGTTGAAACCTATTTATTTTGTTTTGTTTCATAGTAAAAAAATGAGATCGGTCAATAATGAGCCTCCGTTGATCCCTCACCACAAAGAAAGCCGCACCATCAATCTGAGCACCATTGGGCTGGCGTTGCAAGAGATACATGCCCTGTACACGTGTACAGTGTGTACAGGGCATGTACACGTGTATCCACTTGTACAACTTCTTCATTAATAACGTCATCTTGTAGGTGTTGATGAGCGATGTGTAATTTTTTGCATGCATGCATTTTGCGGGAAATGTTTTGCAATACATGTATACTGCACACAGGTAAAGAATTTTTAAGAAACAAACCTTGAGACCTTTCGTGCCATGTTTTGTTGCTGTCGAATCCCGCGTTCGTCTCTTGTCTCTTAAAGTTGCTTCTGCTATTCCTTACACGCTATCTTCGGCTAGTTTGGCATTCTAAACCTCAACCTATACATCATAATGATGAAAAGATTGTTCGGTGCATTTGATGCTTAAACTTTGACTATAGTTATGCTATATACTTAGTCTCCCAGTGTTCCCATTGCCTGATAAAAACCTTGATGGTCCCCTTGCCCTAATCTTGATTGATGCCCCCCTCTTCGCATCATAGAAGGACCTTCGAACTCTTTTGATATTACTCTTTGCTGGGCAGCAAATTTATCTCGTTTAACCTATCGCGTCCGCACGCCCAGCAGGACATTCATAATTGTGCCCAGCGAAGCTGTAGCTGACGGCACCGATTCAGCTCATGCAGCGCAATAGTTCCATGCATTTTTACAGCGGCCGATCGTCCGCCGTTGATGTACCAGCAATAAAGTGTCTGTACATCATAACAGCAAGAAGCTTCCTTTTGTTCGGCGACTTCACAGCAGTCGATATGACTGGTAGCTGGGGCCGTGTTAGATTTATCGTTGCGCGCGTGAAGCGTCTTGTATGCTTGTCTGCGTGTCTTCAATGAGGGCTGTAACTCATCATTGATCTAGTATTACCTGGAACGTATTGCAGTGTGTTTAGTTCAGCACAAGGCTTTTTTTCTTAATTTCAATATTGAATAGGTATTCAAATTTCGTTTTGCATTTCATTGGAACAGAGAATACCTACACTCGCTCTCCTAAACAGGTGCGCCTGATATCGAAGCCAAGCACCCCCTGGTATATTTTTCATTGTTAATTCGAAGAAACAATGTTTGCACCTATATAAGCATGGACGTATTTGAGATGGTGTTGCGTGCAGGATTCTGCGTGACACATCGCTTGAGTGAAAATTCCCCCAATTGTGATGTTCTGCCTGCATTTGAAGTGAGCATTATGGATTCAGGCGCCCATGCACTGCGCCATCATATGAAGGCTTGAGCTATAGCAGCTGTCGTGTGAGATGCATCGATGCGTCCCAGCTCATTCCGACTCCCAAAGTTCATTCCGGCTCCCAAAATTATGTTAATTAAAAGCTTTTGGTGTTACAGCAAATTTTTTATTAAGACCAACATTTTCATACGATGACTGAATTTGCAAGCAAATCCTAGTAATACTTTTCGTCGAGGATTTTATTTCGGGGAATCTTAACCGCTACGGTGTTTCATAATCTCTTCCTTCCATTATCATCAAAGTTCATAACAAACTTCGCGACTTAATTCTCATTGTAAAAACTAGATCATCACACTGTCATCGTTCTCTTATGAGATAATTTTATGAGCCCGCCTCGTACAACTTTGTCCGTGACTGTAACTGCATGCGAGCTTGGCACTGGTATATTTTTTATGCGGTATTTACGAACACCTTGTTTATGAATTCCGCTTGTCTAAATATTGATATCAATGAATTGCAATTGAGTGAATTTATCATGAACACTGTCAGGAATTTGGAGACTGGAGTAACTGCTACAATTGCTTTGCAATTATTCATGATTGTTTACTCGTCCCCCATGCTGTGATGCGGGACGGACTTCAAAAAATCCTGCAGAGCGTAGCGCGTGTTGTGAACATAGCTCACTTGCAACGGCTGTCCCCGCCAGTCGACGTCACTAGTTGAATTAAGTCTGTGCAACTAACATGGCCCTTACATAAACATTACCCAGCAGGTAAATGACGTTGAAACAACGTTTAATTAACGTAAATTCATCGTCCGATGTTTTGGGGGATATGTTGGCTCATGCTGCAATTCACTATCTAATGGCGTCGAGCTGTATAGTTGTATAGCTGAGGCGCTGTTTTATAGAGTCCGTTTGTATGGCAGCGAAGTTTTGTGGAGATAATTTCTTGCCAGGGCTGTATGAAGTCGTTGCCTCTCACACAATCAACTTAATCGTCATGTTTCTTTGTGCCTTCTTGAATTAGTGATTATGCAACGAGAGTTGCTTGCGTCAACCCATATCCGGTCGATAGGCGATGAGTCTAAATCGGCGGGCGTAAAAGCAAATTATTTATTACTCTTTGTCGCTATGTCATTATTTTTATCAATTCGAAATGTATTTGAATATTTAAATTTATTTCACTTTCTTTTGAAAAGTATCGCAATTGGTCTCATTTTTGCTCATGTTTTATTTAGAAAAAAATTGTTGTAAGTCATTTTTAATTCTCAGTCGGCGTATATACTTCCTTATATAGGAAAAAATCCGCTTCACTGTGTGAGAAAGATGTAATGCTATGTAATATTTACATCAAAATTCGTTGAAACGCACTCATCATTGGTTTTATTGTTCACTACAAGCCTAATGATTTGTTCATAATCTTCTGCGAACCTCGTGTCACAATGCCAGCATGTGTTGTGGTTCATCACAAAAAACGGTTCTGGAATTCGCAAGCCGCCGGTAGCTTGGCCTTCAATACCGATCACTTCCGGGGGATCGATTTATTCGGTCAAACGGACGAGACTCTGACCTCAATATTGTGCAGAAGGAAGACATCGCGTTACAGAATCTGAAATTGCACTTTTAGGCCATAAATATATGATGTGATTTTTTGCGTGTACGAACGATGTATAACTTGTTAGTTTTTGTCCCATTATTATTTTTAAACGTTAGTTGAATAATGTGAGAAGTTCATTCAAAATGCGAGTAATTTTGTCGTTGGCAATTATCTTAAAGATTTGATGATTTGATCCCAATGCATGTCAATGTTCAAATCATAGCATTTCCTTAACTTATTGCAGCTACTTCACTAAACATACTGAAATAAATTAAACAATTTCCTGAACTCAACTCGCGTCACCATTCAATTTTGTACTCACGAATATTTTAACAAAAGTCTTGTCGTATTGACGTCGAACGGAACGGTCGCTGTGCATTATTTGCCGGACACAGCGCACACTGAGGCGGCGAGGGCATTATCGAGCCGCCCTCTGTACGCACAGCACCGAACTTCATGCATTATTCGACGCTTGCGTCACGCGCTCTGCTATCGCTAGCTCTTACAACCCTCATGGGCGATGTTTGTTGGGCAGTCGACTGGTCCGCAAGTGTGATATGTTTCATGTCGGCAATGTTTTGAGCTGTGGTGGTGAGAGCATGAGGATATTGTGTTGGGGAGTGTGGCAACGTGTTATGTCGTCAGTGTTGTGAACTGTGGTGGTGAGAGCGTGAGGATATTGTGTTGGGGGAGCGTGGCAACATGTTGTGGTGAGGTATGTTAATAAATTATCACTCGTGAATTCTTGCCTAATAGATCACAGAATGCAAGGTTTTAATTGCATAAAATCGCGTGGTGCGAAAATTGGTCTCAGCTAGGTGTGATGAGATTACGAACAATGTATTATAATTTGTTGATAGTGTCGTGGTTAAGTCGTATATAGGGTCTCTCGTTTACCACTGGATCACAGTTCCTGAGAGACCAAGCTGAGATCATTCTTACTGTCCTTCTCGGATGAAAGTTGCGCTGTCCCTCTCTTTCTATACTCTTACACTTCATTTGCCAGAAAATGAAGCCCACGTTGTCAACTAGAAATATGTCTTTCCAATATTGCGCTTATCATCGTTTGCTTTATGACGGTGGCCAAGCCTGATCGATTGGCATGTAATTAGCTTCTGTGTTTGGTGTTGAAGTCTTGGTTTCATGTTTTTCTCTTTTGTTTACTTTGGTAAATATTCAATTTTTGGTGGCACGGTGAGTACCTATTGAATAATTATCATCTAGCAAACAATAACTTGAATCTCAAATCAAAATTTCAAATCAAAATTTGAATATCAAATGAATCAAATATTCAACGTCAATTCAAGGCCATCAAGAACCCCCAATTTTTGTCATAAATTTTATCTCTAACTAAGAAGCTTTTGATGAATTGGTTGTCGTACAAATGTGTTCTTGCCTCGGTAGCGATAATTCTTTGATAAAATATTGAGCACTTCAATGACGTAAGGACAGTGTGTGGGTGAAGACAAACTATCGTCATCGACCAATCTTTTTCGAGAAATTATTTGCATTCTTTGTTCTTATTGCTGCTCTGTGCTCACTCATTAGTAAGACCATTGATGCATCATGAGTTTTTCGCTCGTAAGAAACATCACCATGCATATATTTTTTTAGTGTTTGCGTACATATTAAGAGGAATAATTGCTTTGTCTGACAATCTTCTAAACGTTTCGCTCTGTTTTTCGTGCAGAAAAACTTCATCAAAACCTCGAAGTACACTGTCATCAACTTCGTGCCGTACAATCTCTTCGAGCAATTCCAGCGCCTGGCCAACTTCTACTTCTTGGTGCTGCTAGTGCTGCAGCTAATCCCCGTAATATCCTCCCTCACACCCATCACCACTGCTGTGCCCCTCATCGGTGTCCTTATGGTCACCGCCATCAAGGATGCCTATGACGACTACGTAAGTGTGCGATTAACTGCCGTCATCGTGCGTGCTCAACGTCCACGTGAACATGTGTGGTCACAGTTTCTCATAGCGAGATTGTCGTATAAATTATTTAAATGAGGATTGGGTATATATATTTTTTCTTTTGCTGAGTATTGGACATAGGTAAATGTTTTCTTTTGATGAGTATTGGGTATACAATTGCTAATAATGAGGATTGTGCATATGAAGCGAGTGTAATGAATAGTTGATAGTATGGCGAGTTGACTAGTGCACGATCACATGGACGAATGAATGATGAATGGCGGAATATATATGCGTGAGACGACCACGCGAGTCTCATTAAGCTTGTATTTATTGCTCTTAAACATGCGTATGATGATCGTGATTAAATCTTCTAGCGGACACATTCGATTCAAGGGTTGTTTTTCGCAGCATTCGTCAGTCTGTTTAGCAAACTAAGTTTCTTCTGAATTCATACAGGCTTGCCTTACGTAATTGTTTCATCATTTTATTTTATTAAATGAATTTCATCACTCTTTTAGAGTGTCACATTATCTAACTTAGCTTTCATGGAGTTCATTTACAGGTTCTTGATTCCTTCGGTGTTATTATTTTTCCTAAGTTGAATTTAACGAACTTGTTTGACGTGCAGCAAAGACACCGCAGCGACAGTCAAGTCAACAAACGCAAGTCAAAAGTACTACGAGATGGAGAGCTCAGAGAAGAAATCTGGAGCAAGGTATGTTTATTTCAAACGTTGAATTTGTTATTATTGTTGCGGAAAAATATCAGAGGAATATTGTGGTTGCTAATAACTTGGTCCTGTGCGTGCTTTGGCCTCGTCCCGGTATAGCTGAGACTAAAATGACGCTTTGACAGGTCGTAGCTTATTCGCATCGCTCAAATTTAACATTAAAGGTTTTTAAAAACACTTAACATATTGATGGCGGTGATGGTGATGCTGCAGGTGGTGGTGGGTGACGTCATCCGCATGGAGAACGACCAGTTCGTGGCAGCAGACATCCTCCTGTTGTCCTCGTCGGAGCCCAACGGCCTCTGCTACATCGAGACCTCGGAACTCGACGGGTGACACTCATTTCCTTCCTGGGACTCTATATTAAAACTCGCTATAATACACGTAGAAACCAATTTCTCGTCTGTTATTGGTTGGTTTAACTTGAAAAGCCGTCTGTGATTGGCTGACAAAGTTCCGAACTTGTGACTATTTTTGATAGTACGGCCCCTGTTTTTCCATCTTTTATGAGATTTGCGGACGTTACGTCTATAGGTACGCCTTAGAGTTGATTAGTATTGAACACGAAATTGTCGAATTTTGCTCTGTTGTATCAAGCGAACTGTTTCTAATTGCAATGTTTGGAACTGGCGATAACGCATGTCCTGGTTTTGGAAATATTGTTAAAACTTGAAATTATTTTGCAGGGAGTCCAACCTAAAATGCAAGCAATGTCTGCCGGAGACGGCAGAACTTGGGCAGGACGCGGCCATGATCGGCGCGTTCGACGGGGAGATCGTCTGCGAGGCGCCCAACAACCAGCTTAATAAGTTCGAGGGAACGCTCTTCTGGGAGGGCGAGAAGTGAGCAACTTGCTGGCTCTGTAGCATCGCTTCTTGTGATGTGCTGGCTTCAATGAACTGCCTGTCTCGTCTCAATACACTTCACTTCCTGCATCAATGCTCTTCCTGCCTCAAAACACTTCGATGCATATTCTTCCCTGTCTCTGTGTCGGGATGGACGTTATTGACTTGAATGAGTGTCTCCTGAACTTGCCTGCTGCATCCAGAACTTGGTTGTTGTTCTGTAATGGGATCATTGTCTTTTCTCCTGCTCTCCGCCTTGCTGCATGGCACTTGGTCTTGTGTAGTAATTACCGTGTATAATGTTTACATTTCAGGCACCAGCGACACATGTTTTGTTACTCTTATAGTATACTCCTTTTATCCTCTTGTACAACACTCGTTGGTCTTATATAGTAACTACCGTGCACTAACGGCTTGGTACATCTCAGGTAAAAGATAACATGATTATTACCTTGTTATAGTACATATAGTACACTCATTGGTCTTATGTTATTATTACCGTGCACTAACTGCTTGGTTCATCTCAGGTACCCGCTGGACAATGACAAGCTGCTGTTGCGTGGCTGCATCCTGCGCAACACGTCCTGGTGTTATGGGGTCGTGGTCTTCGCCGGCCGCGACACCAAGCTCATGCAGAACTCCGGCAAGACCAAGTTCAAGCGCACAAGTATTGATAGACTTCTCAACTTCATTATTTTAGGCGTGAGTTGCTCAGAGCTAACGGACAATCTATCTTTAACAAACTTTTTTTCCCGCATAACTCGGTTAATTCAGGTCAGTCATTGGATCTGCAAATGGAAACGGTCAGAAATTATGTCCCGAAGTTTTTGACGATTTTTGAGTGGATTATGTATTTGCAATTTAATCGGCTGCATATCTGTAACTGACCTAACATGGGTCCATGATATTCATACTAAAATGTGTTAACAGAAGAGGCTAAGTAGTAGGACCTTTCAAATATATTTAAAGTTCTTTGAGCTATGACTTATAATTTATTAATACCGGATATGATACGTTTTTATTGTTCAGTGTTCATATACTTATAATATAATTTCACCTGACCTTGTCTTTCAGATTGTTTTCTTCTTGTTATCCATGTGCCTCTTCTGCACGGTCGCGTGCGGTATCTGGGAGACCATGATAGGTGAGATTTGCAATAATGCCATTTTTATCATGCTGAATGTCTCTCAATTTCTCTGGTGAAAAATCTTATTATTAATCCTTAAATGTAGGTAAGGTTACTGGACCTCTACTATATATTCATGTTACTGTAAGTCCACTTATGCATTTTTAGCAAAGTCATTATATTTGCTCATTGTATGTGCGCCCAATTGTCATGTACTCTGCCGCAGGTCAGAATTTCCGCGTGTACCTACCGTGGGACTCGCTGGTGCCCACCGACAGCGTGGGTGGCAGCACCGTCATCGCCTTACTCGTCTTCTTCTCCTACGCCATCGTCCTCAACACCGTCGTGCCTATCTCCCTCTACGTCAGGTGAGCCTTGGTGCCTATCTCCCTCTACGTCAGGTGAGCCTTGGTGCCTATCTCCCTCTACGTCAGGTAAGCCTTGGTGCCTATCTCCCTCTACGTGAGGTGAGCCTTGGTGCCTATCTCCCTCTACGTCAGGTGAGCCTCGGTTCTCGTTGTTCTCTCCATGTATATCATTCTTAGATACATATCATTCTTCTGTATATCATATCACGTACTATATCATTCTCTGACACGAAAGTCATAAGTTCAGATAGTTCCGTTTCGTTACTGTGTGCGTACTGCAGACTGAGTATGTCTTATCCCTGTAGTGTGGAGGTGATCAGGTTCGGCCAGAGTTTTCTCATTAACTGGGACGACCGAATGGCCTACGAGACGCCCGACCCGCGAGACCCGAACAAAACCAAGCGCACCTTCGCCAAGGCGCGCACAACTACGCTTAATGAGGAGCTCGGTCAAGTCGAGTACATCTTCTCTGACAAGACCGGCACGCTTACCAGGGTGAACATCTTACTCATAACTTAGACTGAGCAAATTATGGAGACGCTATATATTGAAACTTGTCCAATAATAACGCATAATTGCCCGCTTGCTAAGTGAGAATCTCTGGAATAGCTGACAACTAAATTAATACATTATGTTTCACTTTTGTAGGATTGTTTCTGTCCAAAAATAATTCAAAATTATATCTATTAGCGAGAATGATGCACTTAATGAGGTTTGTGATGAATGCCAATTTATTTGTTTGTTTCATTTGTGGCCCGCGGTAATTGATAATACTCAATTCTATTCTTAGAGATTTTAAATGAAAAGTGCGGATCTAATCATTAGTATGGTATTGATTTCGGGTAGTACGTAATTTCGATTCCGCGCCTATCGTGCTTCATTGTGGCTCCTTGTGATATGCTGCTTGATGTGCTTTATTCAATATGTGTGGTTAAACGAGCAGCCATTGTTTATCTTCTGAAGAAGCCTAATCTACGAACTAGTAGCTGGCACTGTAACATCAAGGCAGTAATATTCTTTGAAATAACTATAACTATCGGAATTATCTTCCTGTCATGTATAAATTTTTCTATAATTTTTTTAATAACTTTGCTGTTGCCCACGTAGAACATCATGGCGTTCAACAAGTGTTCCATCAACGGCCAAACATACGGCGAAATTCTGGATCCTAGAACAGGAGAGCCCGTCGAGATCACCGAGGTAAACGGGGCACTTCGAGAACCCAGAGTTTAAGGGATCATGAAAGGGGGCAAATAAGTTTGAATTTTAACTGAATTTTTTACTTTTCTTTCCTTTTATCCCTCTTTCTAGCCCGATGAATGGAAACAGGAGAGGATGTAATATTACTTGATGATTATCTTTTACTTCCATTTTAACCTTAATATATGTAACAAAAGTATGCGAAATTAATTATTTCATGATTATTTCATGATGAACCCAAACGCCTTCAACGATATTTTTCATTTAACCTCAGGGCATGCGCTCAGTGGACCTGTCCCAGAACCCGTACTACGAGCCCTCGTTCAAGTTCTACGACAGCGCCCTGACTGACGCACTCAAGTCCCGCGACAAGAACTGCCAGGAGTTCTTCAGGCTGCTGGCGCTCTGCCACACCGTCATGCCTGAAGTCAAGAACGGTGATTTGCCTGCACTCACGCTTGCCGATTTTATAAATATACCTGTGTTGTTATGCTAGAGTCGGATAATCCCTTTTCAATCTAGTATAGCTAATCATGCGTACTATTGACAATTTTTTACAAGAATTGCTAGTGTCGGATAATTCTGCGTTTACCAACAGAGTTTGATCAGAGTTGCTAGTGTTGGTATAGTTATTTTTCAGTTATACGTAGCCAATCTTGTGTGTATTTGCCAAAAATATACGTAGGTTACATGCTGTGGATAATTGCTCTTCAATCGCGCGTATCATGTAATTATCGTCTGCATTTGGGAACGTAAAGCAAACTTACGGAACTGCCCTGCAGTACGAAAACGTTTTCTAGGTTAACCTTATAACTCATATATCAATTGAATTACCTGATGAACATATTCAGCACTATTCTTCAATCTGCAATTATCTTCGTAAATTTTATCAACTTTGCCGAGGTTATATTTAGCTTTGAATATTTAGCCTTATAATTATATGTATATTTGAGCCGTTAATGTGACGGCAGGTAAACTGGAGTACCAAGCGCAGTCGCCGGACGAAGGCGCCCTCGTCTCAGCTGCACGCAACTTCGGCTTCGTGTTCCTGTCGCGCACCCCCAACAGTATTACCATCTCGGTGGGTCGTCTTATTCATTTTTTTAAACTGGTGTGGGGTGAATACTCCAGTTTCAGTTTATAGAAATCTTCTTTGAACTGATTCAAATCCGTTTTTTCCCCATCAATGTCTCCTGTTCAAAGATTATTCATTATTTCGGCTTTAAAAAGTTATTACTTGGTATTGTTGAAAGCAGGCGAACGGCAACGAGGAGACGTACGAGCTGCTGTGCATCCTGGACTTCAATAACGTGCGCAAGCGCATGAGCGTCATACTGCGGCGCGACGGCAAGATCCGCCTCTACTGCAAGGGCGCCGACTCCATCATATACGAGCGCCTTAGGAAGGGGCAAGATGCCCTTAACTTCCACACGCAGGAGCACCTTAATGTAAGTTACAAGCGCCTCAGGAAGGGGCAAGATGCCCTTAACTTCCACACGCAGGAGCACCTTAATGTAAGTCGCACTAACTGCAGTGTTGCGGGTGCTCTGCTTTGCCCATGTAGCCCTTTTCGGTACTGTTTAGTTATAAACGCGTGCTTCTAATTTCTCTTCACAATTTGAAATTGGCCGGTAAACCAACTCCAATCTACCAATTATACAATACCTCGCGTCTGACAAAGCCACCTGAAATAAGTGCTTTCAACCATCAGTAGTTTGAAGCTGTCTTATGCCAATATAGTTGAACTAGTGACAGATGGTAGATTGTTGGAGTTATTCTGGTTGTAGGTCTGGTGCGACGTGTGCCGCGTCGTGCACGAAGAGCTCTCAGTCTCAGAACTTTGCTGTGTGTTGGATGTTATGCTGCGTTGTTATTCTCTTGGGGTAACTTGTTTGTTAGTTTGGTAGAGAAGCAGCAGTTCTCTAACAGTTGTTGTATGACAACGATAATAAAAACGCTATGTTCTTTGTTCTTCACATTTATTTGAATCAAAATATATATATTAATATTGTCTCGCAACTTTGTTTGCTTCCATTTCTAGATCATGCATGCATAAGAGCTCCAAATTTGTATGAATATTATGAGTACTCTTTTTTGCGTGCAGAAATTTGCGGGAGAAGGCTTGAGAACTTTATGCTTGGCCGTAAAAGATCTCGAAGAACCGTACTTCCAGGTGAGTCTCCTGCACTTTTGTGACGCTTTTTTCTTGCAAGACTATAAATGAGAATAATTAACACGTTCTTATTAATTTCTTAGTTTTCTTATCCCGATATGAGAAATGCTGAGGATGAAAACCGTCTAAACCAAAATAGCTCGGTTGTTTTATGTTCTATAAAATTCGAAAATGATCTCCATTCCATGATTTTCTTAGATAAATGGCTAACTGTGAATATATATGTAACCACTTTCATAACATTTAATTGTAAAAATCATTCTGAAAAGTTTCAGTAATAAAAATTCCTTATAACACAAATCAGTTGAAGACATAATAACCAGGAAAACTTTGGCGCAGGATTGGAAACGACGACACCACGAAGCGGCCACGGCCATGACCAATCGTGACGAGAAGCTGCACGAGATATACGAGGAGGTGGAGAAGAACCTGACGTTGATTGGTGCCACGGCCATCGAGGACAAACTACAGGACGGGGTCCCGCAAACTATCGCCTCCCTGGCGCTGGCCGACATCAAACTGTGGGTGCTGACCGGCGACAAGCAGGAGACCGCCATCAACATCGGCTACTCCTGTCAGGTGTGGCAAGAGTTATGAGCCAGTTATGGCCTGGTAATGTCAGCTCTTGTCAGGTGTGACAAGAGTTATGAGTCAGTTATGGCCTGGCAATGTCAGCTCTTGTCAGATGTGACAAGAGTTATGAGCAAGTTATGGCCTGGCAATGTCAGCTCTTGTCAGATGTGACAAGAGTTATGAGCAAGTTATGGCCTGGCAATGTCAGCTCTTGTCAGGTGTGACAAGAGTTATGAGCCAGTTATGGCCTGGCAATGTCAGCTCTTGTCAGGTGTGACGAGAGTTATGAGCCAGTTACGGCCTGGCAATGTCAGCCCTTGTCAATTGCGACGTGGTCCCTACACTTGTGGCCTGCAGTGTCAACAGCTGTAGTTCCGTTCTGGCATTATAAATTTTTGCAGTTAGTATGGATTATTTGAATGTGTAGTTACCACATTCGTGTGCTGCTGTCTCACGAGTATAATTTACATTGTTCAGTTGCTGACGGACGACCTGGTGGACGTGCTGATAGTGGACGGTCAGGCGGCCAGTGAGGTGGAGAGTCAGCTCAGGAACTACCTGGAGGACATCCGCGCCGTGTCGTCCGCCGCGTCCGTGTCACACGCAGATAACCACACGTCCGTATCCGTGGTCTCCTTTAGGTATCCGCCCAACTCACTTAACGCCAAGAGGGCCAATCCTAAGTACGTCGGCGACAACAACTTGTCGTCTTGTTCACAGTTGCTTGCGGGGCTTGCTGAGTGACTATTGCTGCTATCGCTAACGCTACTACTGCATCATCACCGGTTCATTTCAGTACTTCTAGTTTAGTGAGCTCGGTCCTCTTAACAACTTCCATTGCTCATACCTTGGTTCGTTAATAAACACCTAATTACTTTTCTACATCTGCGGATGCTATTCTGGTTTGTTTCCACTTGTGATGACACCTGGATTTTTTTCCGCCTCTGCTCATTATTTTCCCTATAGTTATCCCAAATATTGACTGCAAGACTTTATCTATCCGGCCCAAGCCTGACAAATGTCGAAATCCTCATTTTAAACTGTCGCGGCGTTTACATTTTCTTACCACGATCACATCCTCTACTTTAACATTAATGATGATAAGTTCAATATTTTGTTGCAAGTCTTGGTGGCCTCGAGCTATATTTGATTTTTCCCTAATTAGTTATGCGCGTATTGAATTTTTGGCTTCCAGTAAAGCTTTCGCATGTAACCTATTTATTTCCATAAGATTTTCGTCAATGTTTAAGACACTAATATTACTGAAAACCGCATCGAAATTGTTCTAAAAATTTTCCTAACCTAATAGCTTTACCCTTTTTGAGAAAGAAGTCATTTTACTGACGCCTTGCCACTACATGCCTCATACTGCCTCACTCTAAGAACCGCTCCTAAATCATCCGCATCAGCAATTTATGCATCACACAACACAGTCCACCTTTGCGCGCTGATATTCTAAGAATTTCATTTCCTGTTCACCATGAACGCTCTGCCTCTATCTTAACTCTAGCTGGCTCTTAACTTTCAACTGGTGCTTGATTCCTCTTGCTCGAAAAAATTTTCTATTGCTCACAAAATTTAGCGCTTCCAGCACCTTCTTACAGGTTAATTCTGACGTGGTTTTTGCTACTTTGGTTTCGCTTAGATTAGTGGTTCCCAACCTTCTTTTGATCGAGTACCACTTGGAGGTTCCGGACAGTCTGGTACCACCATGTACCTGTACCACTAATATTACATACAAGCCGCTCATATGTATTAATAGTTTGATTTTATCTTAAATGATGAGCTGAAAATCAGCGCAGTTACTAAATGTTCTCATTGAATGCACCAACAGCCGCTGGAACCAGGTGGGTGACGAGGTCAACAGTTGCAAATCTTTGTAGGATTATCGTATTTCTTCATAAATTAATAAACTAATCAAATATGCCTTTGCATACCACTTGAAGGACCCATACTTTCTACTGTTGGTACTGGTTCCCCAGGTTGGAAACCACTCAATGTTTCAATACTATTCGTATTGAAATAAACGTTTTATGAGAATATTTCTCTGATTATTGTTATAAAAAATAACGCTCTCTAGGACAGTTCTTCTTCGCCCACGATTTTATTTCCACACTGATTAAGGCTTCTGATTTTTGATTTCTGAAATTGATTTGCTGTAGCGAGGAAGCTTTTTGCTTGCTGTATTTTAAGTAATGATTAAAAGTTTAGCGTTTAGTTTAGACTAAGTCTTCATTGAAACTTTCTCATGAAGGTTTCTAAATTCATGAAAGAATTCCTTAGGAAGCTCAGTAAAATGAAGCATGGCCTTACAGTTATTATTTACGATTACCTTTCTTCAGGATCTTCATTTTTCTTATTACTAGCCTTGAATTTTATGTGTTCTGAAGCTCCGCTAATATTTTGAATACAAGTATTTGCAAGTTATGCCGCTGAAAACAATTCATGCCAAATAATTTTCGACGATTTTGAGAATTTCTGCAATTTCTACGATCTCACCAAATTAATTTAGTTAAGAATTCCAAATAATTTAGTTTGTATTGTGTGTAATAGCGACGATGGGAGCGCGGCAGGCAACACAATGGGGCTGGACACGCTCAGTGAGGACGGCGAGACGACCTCAGGCTTCGCCCTCGTCATCAACGGCCACTCCCTCGTCTGGGCTCTCAACCCCAAGTTCGAGAAGCTCTTCCTTGACGTCGCCACCAGATGTGAGCTTATTGACCCCTACACTCGGGGCAATTAGTGGGGCTTTGTGAGCATGTTAACTCCTATACTCGGGGGAATTAGTGGCACTTTGTCCAAATAGCCATGCACTTTGTGGTCTTATGTGGGCCATCCTGGATGATCAGTTTGGTTGCAGCCAAAGAGAGTATAAGTGGTAAATACAGATGAAAGTTTGTCATTTGTTGAACAACAGGATACTTTCATTTTTTTAGTGTATTCAACTCGAATCACCCAACGCTGGTACAAGCCTTTTTTTCTTTAAAAACGCAAATTTTTGGACGTAGCCTTAAGATGAGAGAGAATAAAATGCCTTGAATATCTCGTTGTTGCTCGAGGATGAAGATGCTGTCAGTGTAGCGTGTGTCGCCACTGTGCTCGTGTCGCTCATCCTTTTGGTCTTCAATTAAAACAATTGCAGAATAACATTGTAGTCACATTTATAGAGCTTTCTCAATTTAGGGTATTGTTGTAATATACGAAAATTTATTTTGAAAAAGTTTAAAATTTTTGCAGCTCATGTACATGGTGACTCGTGCTTTCACCAGACAACCTAGACCTCGTCAAGCGCCACATGAAGGCCGTCACGCTCGCCATCGGCGACGGTGCCAACGACGTGTCTATGATCAAGAGTAAGTCTTAATGATGTGTCCATGATCAAGAGTAAGTCTTAATTAATAAAATCTTTTCGACGTAAGCTGAGACTTCAAGCTTCAAGTTTCTACTGCAGAACTCCCCAGTCTTGCTCTGCCAAATACTTGAGACTTTTGCTTCTGGTTCAGAACCCTTTTCTCGGTCTAAAGTATTCCATGTGCAGATAAACGACTCAAAGTTCCATATTTGCAGCTGCGCACATCGGCGTGGGCATCTCAGGGCAGGAGGGCATGCAGGCGGTGCTGTCCTCTGACTACTCCATGGCGCAGTTCCGCTACCTGGAGCGCCTCCTGCTGGTGCACGGACGCTGGTCCTACTACCGCATGTGCAAGTTCCTCAGGTAACGTGGATTCTGCTGCGCGACCACAGAGTTTCCTCTCGGAATTGATAAGGAAAAATCTTATTACCATTATTTGTTCAAGTTCATCTATTCAAATATTTTGCTGCCTATATATTTTTTTTGCTGCGCATGTTAGCTTGTTGGTTGCATGATCTTGAAGTCAACCGACTATCTTTCAACTGATCGCGCCACTCTTTACTTTTTTACGTCATGGATACGTAAATGCGTTTGTTGATATTAACTTAGCTGTGTGAAACACACAGGGAAAGCTTCCTTCAGGGAAGCTTCAATTTACTGAAGCTTTCCCTCCCACCAGATATTTCTTCTACAAGAACTTCGCGTTCACGCTGTGCCACTTCTGGTTCGCTTTCTTCGTCGGCTTCTCCGCTCAGGTGAGATCGTCTTTTGTTATCGCACTTTTCCTCAATGCTTGGCTATTGTAACTTCTCCATTGCTAATAACATGCATCCTTGCTCGGAATGTCTCAGAGAAATACAGTAACATTGTAACGAGTTCTGTAGTCAATAAAAAGGATTGAATTGAAGCTAGCCTGGTGCAGTATCTGTGCACGTTCATAATTATGGCTCGGATTAACCCTCAAGAAATTGAACTTGGAGAGTTGCATTTGTTTCTGCTAGCCGCCGTGGGACCAATATCATGATGATCAATTCTGCAAATCGGAATATCTACATCAATTTATTTTTCAACATCTGACTGACTTATAACGAAAGTATTGTGTTAAAATAATAAAATGTCCGTCGAATGAACTTTCATGACCACCGTAAGATAAACAAGGATATCTAAAAAGTATTAACTCAACGTGATATATTTTGGGAACCGCAAAATTAGTTCCGTATCCATGATATTGTTTCTGGGAAACGCATACTTTAATTTCCCTGGACAACGCATTTCCGAGATCTGTGTTGCAGCATCGACATGCTGTTCCACCTGCAAATTCGTGTACATGTTTCAATTTCATGCAAACGCCTTGACTCAATTTGCCAATGGCTCCTGCCTTCAACTAATTGGTAGAGGTTGAGTAAGTTTCTTTTGCCTGCAATGGCAATGTTACTCCTTCTTTGGGACCTATTTCCGCGGCAAATCTAAGCCTTATTTAATTTTTGATAAATCGATTTTTTAGAACAGCTTTCGCTATATGTTTCATTTGTCCGTCATGTCAAATTCTTAGGCTACAGGACATAATTTTTATCATGCTATCAGCCGATACTAGTTAAAAATTATTTTTTATATTTTCTCATTACTCTGACTTTCGTAACTTTGGATCGCCTTTAAAGGTTGCGAAGCAATGATTTTTTCTCGCAATAGAATATATGAAATGAGACACCTGCCAGCAGACAGTAAACTTCTGACAGGATATTCGTCTTGTAAAGACAACAGGATGTTCGTCTTGCCTTTGTAGAATGTTTGCATAATATTCATTGATGACATGAATGCTATTACTTGAGTTCCCACTCGTCTTGTGAGTGTGGTTTCTTGTACATAAAAAATTTGTACTTGTGGGCCGAGGCCGCTGTGCTTCAGTGTGGTTTGTTGATGCAAGCTTTACCCTCTCGTGGCGACCGTTGACATCGCATCCATTGTCTGTATTCGTCTTATCACCCGTATTTCAGTACCTAGCGACATTCTTTATTCTGTAAAGGCTAATGATCGATGGTTGTGTGATTCGTATTGAATATCAAGTTGTAAATATGTCGATTAATGATTCGGCGTTGTACCTCACGTTAAAAATTGCAGCTATCTTTGTAGTAACCTTCAATCTTATTGTGTCGCAATAATTCTCTCAACAACCAATAATATAGCCTGATGAATAACGATCACATTTCCTGAAATCGTGTCAGCGGTCTCAGCCACTTAATTAAGTCCCTTTTATTTCATCAAGTCCCATCTAAGGAATCCAGGCCAAATATTCTGAAGGCGAGTCAAATGTTCCGGGCTTCGAGACAAGAGTATGTTAGCGCTCATGTTTTTGTTTACCGTCTTGATGAGCTAATTTTATTATGTTGTGTAATGTTGATAGCTCTTGTGGGTCATGTGTGGTTGGTAATATCAGCTTCCCTCGTCTCATTGCTACTGCAATATTACCATTGCAGGCATTGCTGAACCTATAAAATGCCAGCATTTACATTCATCTGTTCATTCCTTAATACCAACGCTGAACAATTATATTAATTCGCCAATATTTGTCAACTAATGTTTTCGGTTTTCCCGTTCTTTGCCCCCGAGGTCTCAGCAGGAACAGAAAACTCCTCGCCCAAAAATTTGTATGTCTTAACTATTTTAAGTTATAATTTCTTATCGTTCGAAGGTACAAAAATTATCGTATGTATCATTTCTCAATAGGAATAATTTTCCTGCCCCAGAGAGCGCGATGCAACCTGAATATTCATGTCTAACAAGCCTCTTGCATCACGTGATGTCATAAACACAAACCTAACTCACACTTCGTACTTCTACGTTATTTTCAGACCGTCTATGACCCGATATTCATATCTTTCTACAACGTGTTCTATACGTCACTGCCGGTGCTGTGTGTCGGTTTTATTGACCAAGACGTGGACGATTTTAACAGCGTCAGATACCCGAAGCTCTTCGCGCCAGGCCTCCGCAACAATTTCTTTAACAAGAATCTTTTTATGAGGAGCGCCGCGCATGGCGGCTTTACATCTCTTGTTATATTCTTTGTGCCGTTTGGTGAGTTGTGTCCTCGTCACGCATTACTCATCACCAGACGTCATGAACGGTGAACCAACGTTAAATTAGCCTTATTTTGTTGTTTTAATGAACTTTAAATTAACGTTGTTTCAACGTCATTCGCCTGGTGGTTTGTCATCACGCGTTGCTCGTCTCATCTACTCCGTCTTGCCTTCATCATCTCGTGATAGAATTTATGATTTGTATATGCCGACTATCCAGCCTTTTGAGTCTCTAAAACTTTGGTATGAACTGATCGTGACGGTTTGCCGATTTGTGGTTTTGATTTTAAAATGGGCATAACGTCCTGGATTTAATTAGCCTTAACCCTGCATTTATGATTAGTTTTTTCGTGTTTCGATCAAACCTAACTCGTTACTCCTAGCAGAATATTAGCTAACGGAATCTCTGGTTAATTTAGGCCTCTAAGCTCTTTTTTGCATCAAATTGGCCCACTATCCGCCCCTAAAATGCATTCCTAAATGTCGAAACTGAAATTAGGATGGATAATCGGCCAATTACTTTATAATTCGTTCATTCCCTAATCTCTGCATCCTTTCTTTTCTTCACGAAATTTTCTTCTAACCCTTCAGTTTTCTTGATCAAATACAGCACCTTTTCTGTTTATATTTTCTCGCTTCAGTTTACGTGTGTTTAATTTTGATTCTCGGCGTGTGCTTCTCTTCCTTTACCGTCGCTGTGTGTGTTGATACGTGGCGCCCGCAACGCCATTGATTGCGTTCTCACCAGACGACTTAAGATGCTAATATCTTTGTTGATCTGCACTTCTGAGTGAGCACTTCACGTCTATTGTACATCACTTGACATCACCGCGACATCGTTAGCAACATGCCGAGCATACCGTCTATTATACATCACATGACATCACCGCGACATCGTTAGCAACATGCCGAGCATACCGTCCATTGTACATCACATGACATCACCGCGACATCGTTAGCAACATGCCGAGCATACCGTCCATTGTACATCACTTGACCTCACCGCGACATCGTTAGCAACATGCCGAGCATACCGTTCGTTGTACATCACTTGACCTCACCGCGACATCGTTAGCAACAAGCCGAACATACCGTTCGTTGTACAATAAATGTGCATCAGTTGATCTCGTGCATCGCGAGAAATTTTACTAGCTAATTCTGATGATATAATTACTAAAGCGAAACTCGTTTTGGAACACTCACACCTTATCGGCTCAATAATTAGTAGAATTTAATCTAATTAGAGTTGAATGAGTAGAGGAGCGGTTTCTCCAGAATTTAATGCGATGAATCATGAATGATATTCGTGTTTAACTTCGATGTTCGTGTTCACCTCTCATTGAACTTCGATGTTCTCCGGCACCGTATCGGCACGCTATGTCGCGTGCGCCGGCATTGCTTTCCATCCGCTACAAAAATAATCATACACTGTATATATATTTTATCACTGATTTAGTGTGTTGGATGTTCTATTTTGTGCTGGAATAACCTTACTGTGTCTTTTTTAAATAATCATTTTCCCATCATATTATTATCTGTTTAGTAGAAGATAAAGTGTGTTAACGTCAGTCCCTTATGCGCGAGTTGTATTTTTTGCTGTATTTGTTGTTCATGCGACCAAAGTAACAGCATGGTTATCACCAGCACCAAACAAACATATCATCATCACGTTTATGCGATTATACTTGCTATTTGCGTGTGTTTCATGTATGATTCTTGATCTCAGGACCTCCGGTGATACCAGAGGAAAAGTGCGATCCTTCTTTTTTATTTTTTTTTTAACAGTTGAGTACATCTTTCCTAATGACGCAATTAACTAGTCACTTTTAACATATATACTTGCTTTTCTTGCACTGATGATTAGTTATCGTACAGCGTATCAAATCCTCAACTGATGATATATCCATAGTCTCGAATTTGAACATAAAGAAGTTTCGTAATTTTCCTCGCGCCCATTGGCTTTCCTACTGCAGCTCTCACCTCCACAGCCGGAAATATTCGTGTTCTACATGTTTGATGTTTTATTTTCAGATTCTTAGCGTTTTAATTCACTTTTTATTTATAATTTAATTTGTGTGTTTGATTGCTTCACGTTTCACTGGGAATTTTCTATCCCGTTCACTCTGCAGACCGTATTCGACCCCATGTTCATAGCCGTGTATAACCTCTTCTACACGTCCATGCCCGTCCTCGCACTGGGCATATTCGACCAAGATGTTGATGCTCGCAACAGCATGGCGTATCCTAAGCTCTACACACCAGGCGTTCATAACACGCTCTTCAACAAGCCTCAGTTCTTGCGTTCAGCCTTTCACGGTTTTGTAGCTTCAGGAGTTCTCTTCTTCATTCCGTACGGTAAGTTGGATCCGAAACCAGCGTCCTATTTCCTTCAGTCCGCATGTCGTCTGCATTTTCATATCGTGTAGAACCCTGCTAAACTTTTGCCGCTTGTTTAAACTGTATCAATCCCTCGGCTAACGCCGTTATTTGACCGTCGTTCCGTTCAGTCTGATGTAAATTTTCTTAAGTCTATGCGTTTGTCCTATGCTAATAATGAATAACCTATAATAACTATGCTTGGAAGCTCAACTCCCTTATTTTACACGAGTAGGAATAGTGAGGAGACATTTATTTATGTATGCCTTGAATAAGTTTGCCTTCGGCGCTTGCAACTTGCTTTCCATAACTTCAATTATTTATTTTACTTTAGAGACTTGGCTATTCTAAACGCTGGTTTTGCAGTACCTTCAGACGCGTCTTATTATGTCGTCGCCCACTCACGCCTGCTGGGAACTTAAACTTGTCTAATGTGTATTTCAGTTGCCGCTTGTAGCATCCGTAATGTGCACTACCAGAATATTGTGGAAATACTTTCTAGATACGAAAACTAGTGACGTTATTCTCGGGGTATTTTAGTTTAGAAACACCTGTTAATATTCGTGGATTATTATTCTTGTTTTGTGGGCTATCCATTGCGTCTGGTGGTGCCTCTGTTTACTAAGTGTTATTTGTTATGAAGAATGAGCTTGAGGTTCTCAAAGTCTACTTACTTATAATTTTCCTGCAAATTTTATCTTAAGCTCGTAACGAACCGAGCAATGACTCGGCTGTTATTAATTGACTGATGCTAAACTAAACAACAATTCAATAAATAAAAAACAACAAGCTCTTGAATTTTCATGAGAGTTCGTACCCTACAAAAATCCAAGCTGCTAAGTGTAATTCTATTCCTCATCGGAAATAATTTTGTATTCTCTGTAGCATGCAATTCTATCGTCATTCCACCAATATATTTGGGTTAGAGGAGGTCTTGGAGGAGTACTTTACGTGGTGAGTGCGGCCAATAAAAAACGGTGGGAACTTTTCGCTCATATCGTGCAGGTAAGAAACCAGCCTGATGCTTAGTGAACTGAAATTGCCAAAGCTGTGAAATAAAAGGTAAGGAGCTTCTTTTCTCCTACCTACGCTTGTTTTCATTTCATGGCCAAGAATGAAATTCAGCACCGAGTGTGTAAAACTATACCTCAATTTAAGTATCACCATTTCACTTTTCTTTTGTTCAAATCAAATGACTGTGTTACGCGCTCCATAGTTTCACTCTTAGTTTAGAGTCCCACGCAAATTAAGTCAGTCGTTAGTCGACGTATCTTCATGCTATGGTAGGAGTTTGTCTGCAGGAATATTCAATATTTTACAAACTTTTCAACGTAATATTCACTCAATATCTGCAATATGAATCTGCGCGTGGACTAGGAGGTGTTTTGGTGTGTTGTATTGTAAACAAGGCGCTACATCACATGTTTGCGAAAAAATTATGTTTATTCTTGTTTCAATATATTATTGTTCGTTGACACCTACACAACAGAGCGGATGCATTCAGTTCAGTGTTATTAAATTGTGATTTTGTCTGCAACTAAATATTTATTTAGTCGTCCACCGTAGTCATAGTTTCCCCACCGTATTGTGTGTAGCTGTTGCGCTTCTTTGCTGCTTTCATCACGCAGCTTAGCTGTGACTCTATTTCTATATCGATGCATACCTCCTCAGCTAGCAGTTCAAATATTACAGATCATTTCCTCTTTATTCCTTCCAGTTAAATTCATTTGATTTCTCTGCCTTCTGGATTAAAGGAAAATATTACAGCCACTTCCTGCGAGTTAACGTTATTAATCAGACAACTGTCCGTTTGAAATGTTTGCACGAATGCTTGATGTGTTCCTGGCATATGCCGGGGTTAACTTGCTTTGATACGTTAATGCTTCTTTGCGCTCTCACATTATGAAGCTTTCAAGAGTTCCGTGTGCTGCTTGCTGCTAACATTTCTTCGCTACCGTAACATATTCACTTTACTCCTGCTCATATATTTATGTTTCTTTTTTTTTTCATTTTAAATTAAATGAAAAATTCCTGTTTAGTCTTTCGGCTCACATTAAACCATCTCTGACGCAACAGCTGTACATCAAAACATCTAATATACCTAGTTAATCATCATCAATACTACGTTCAGTTTTTGTTCTGCTTATAAATTAAGGGTCACTTGTACGATCTTGCACCTTGCCTCGAAGATTTTTCTATATCTAAAATCTCTTACCATGATAATGTAAAATCATAATAGTGAAATATACAGATATATAAGATCAAAGTAAGGGCGGCAGTTGTTATGTCACATATAGTTCATCATAGTCGTTGTTGAATGTCAGACAGTATTTCTTCGCAATATATTCTGTTACTTGTTTGATTCTATCATAATTACAAGTATTAATTTATACAGTTAATTACACATAAAAACTTCACAATCATCAATAAATTCCTTGCTGCTGCCGTCTCTTGTGCATTAATGTTCCCCATTAAACTTATGTAGACCTCCATTGGGTTAGCTTTACTTTCAGTTAATACATTTTTAATTGGAATAAATTTCTTTTATTCTAGCTACTCTAATTTCTGCTTCTCGTACTATCTACAATTTGTTCGTAATATGGAAAACAAACAAGAGCCTTTACTTAAATCTGCCAAAAATTCTTCATAATGCCTAAGAATTTTCACAGTAACCTTCATTATCTGAGGTATCTAATAAATTGTTAGTTTTCTCGTAATCATTGTAGAATTAATTGAATATTCAGTTACTTATTGAACGACTCGAGTTCCAATGACCCACAACGCGCCTCTCTGACCGCTCGCCTCGCCCCGCAGGCGCGTACTACACCGCAGTCGACCAGCACGGCCGAGGCATGGCCGACCATCAGCTCTTCGGTACCGTGGTCGCCTCGATCCTCGTGCTCGTGGTCACGGTCCAGGTGACGTCATCTGGCGACGTGCGTGTTGTGTTATATGCTCTACATATTCGTGCAACAATTAAAGTTATAGTCGGATCAATTAAAGTTATAGTCGGATCAATTAAAGTTATAGTCGGATCAATTAAAGTTATAGTCGGAATCAGGGGCCAGTCGATGAATTGGCGGTAAACGGCCATGAGGTCAAAGTCAGTTTCCGTTTCAACAGGGCACGAAGCTCGAGAATGTTAACGCCGTTCCTGACACTATATCTAATTCGTTCCTATTCTAGCATCCGCGACGTTCATTGGTCTTACGTGGAATAATCTTCGCTGAAAGATTCACAATTATTTTTAAATCACGGCTGTCTGTAATAAATAATATTTAACAAGAAATGGTTTACAAGAAAAAAGTCGTATCGAATGTTCTCGCTATCGAGTTAAAAATGGAGATGAAAATGGTTTCAAGTCCTTTATGTTTCTCACATAAAATGTATTACAAAAATAATTCCTGCGTTTCTTTTATGTAAATTTGGAGTTTGTAAGCATGTTTCATGTGTTGCAGATCTGCCTGGACACTTCCTACTGGACGGTCTTCAACCACGTGACCATCTGGGGCTCGCCGGTGATGTACCTCATCGCGCAGTTCTTCTACAACTACGCGCTGGGCGGCGACTACGTCGGCACCCTCGTCAAGGTCGGGCACAATTTAATTAGCTGCACAAGCAATGTTTTGCCAGTTGTAGCTGAGGCTATCGCCGCAACACTTGATATTGTTTGATTCAGAGATCTGGCTTGATGCATCTTATTTCATATACGATTCACAATTGAAAATGCAATGAAATTCGATGACAATTGAATTTCATTGAGAGACAATTCAATGACAAATTCAAATAAAATTTAACGAAAATAAATCTTACTTGTCGATCCATGATTTGTAATGTCATCATTATTGTATTTATTAAATGCCAGACCCTGGAAGAGCCGCTGTTCTACTTCACATGCATGCTGACGCTGGTGGTGCTGATGGTGCCCGTGGTGGCGTGGAGGTTCTATTGGGTGGACGTTCATCCCACACTAGCAGACAAAGTGCGATACAAGCAGCGACTCGAAGCCAAGCTCGCCAGCAAGCGGTCGCATCGCACCATGCGCCGCACGCCCTCTGCCAGACGGTAGCTCTTATGTTTTGTGCATGCCGCCTGAGATATTCTAATTATTCGCAAGTGTATTGTATGGTATCTCCAACGGCATCATGTACCTCACAATTCATTTTATGTATGAAATCATCGAGCTTAGATTTCATCATCGAATTTCTCCTCGTTTGAGTTGTTTCTTTTTTTATTGGGGATATTTCGACAATTTACATGATTTGACGGTATAACTTTCAAGTGTCATCTCATTTTCAATTAATAATTAATGATACAAATTCTTTTATACCTACTGATAAGTTTTTCCTCTATTTTTGTAATTTTGTGTTTAATAACGCTTTAAACGTTCAATTTTGTTGACACTAATCTACTAATTTGTTGTTCAGGTCGCGGCGGTCGGTGCGGTCTGGCTACGCCTTCGCCCACCAGGAAGGCTATGGTCGGCTCATCACGAGCGGCAAGATTATGCGACCCAACCCCCTACAAGTGCAGCCCCGACCCGCCCGTAACCAGCTTCAAACGGGTCCCAGCAACCAGAAAACTTCATCAAGTGCTCCTAACCAGACAACCACGGGGCATATGACCAACCTGCCTGGTTACGCTAGTGACGACTTGAGCGTGCCTAATGCCACTGCCGCGGCGGCGGCTGCAGGCCTCGTCTCGAACTCCATCAACCAAGTGGTGAACGGCTCCTCCAGCGGCGGCAGAAAACGCAAGAAGCAGGAACCCAGCATTGGGCTCACCACTGTCCATCCGCAGCCACCCTCTACCGTGGATGTGTGAAGCCTTATTTTGTACTTTAGTCTATAGCGTAACGCTCGATAGCGACCACTATGCGCACATCTCATGCGCAATGACTAGTTTTTTGTAAGTCAGCAGATGTCCAAGCGCATAATGGCTCATAGAGAGATTTGTATCTTGCTTAGCTGCTCACTGATACCAAGTAATATTTTAGGTAAATGGGTAGGTAATAAATTGAGTATGCAGTAATGTATAGCGGGTACAACGTACTGAATACTCACTTAAGTATCGATGTCGTTGCCTTCAGTTAAGGAGTGAAGATGGGCCTTAACTTGCTGTCCTGTGATCAATATAAATGTTACTGCTGAAGATAAGATTTTAACTCTCAATTGTATATAAGAAATGAAGTCCTCAGTGACGCGGGCTCAGTTCTCAGCGCGACCAGGTCAATGCTGGTCGCCAAGACTGGGCTCTCATATCTGCGGGGTATTTTCCATATTTAATACGACTGATGATGCATTTTTATGCTCTGGTATTTTTGGCTGATGTAGAGGTAAGTGGAAGCTGCCGAATGATGCCTTACATGATATTTTTGCAAGCAGTCAGTGACATCACAGTGAGGCTTTCGGTGAATTTATTTTGTATTCTTTGTCAAAATTTTCTGAAGATATGTCGATTGTGGAATTTTAATTTTAAATGAATTTTTAAGAACGTGCAAGATCATCTGTGTCGCTGACGAGTGTCTAATAAAGGCTTTATTTAGTTATTGTAAATCATTGCAAGGCCATTATTTAAGACGTCTCCTTTTTTCACTGAAAATTTGTAATCTGTAAAACAACTTTAAATGATTTCCCATCCGCAATTTAATTTGTATATTCTTCAAACTCAGATTTCTTGAAATAATAAGAAAATAAATATACTTATCTCTTCATTCCATATGTTACGGCCACCTTAGGATTAATTGTTGTATTGCATCGCATAAAGTCTACTGTGTGATCAAATTCCGGTACGTTGAGCTCAGGCTGAACACAATACTTGCTTGTAGAGGTTGCCGATCCATTGCTCTGTGACTGCTGCTTGATGTTACTTACGTATTATCGTCTGTGGTTGTTAAAGTAAACTAAAAACATTCTAGCCTCGTGAACCCATTACATCGTAAGCTTCTCTTGACACGCACATGTTACCGAGTAACATTTATTTAGATCGCAATGAGTTTCTGCAGCGATGGACTGGAGAGTGTGGCATTTAATGTCATTCGATGGGAAATCTACATTGAGTGAAAAAAAGTATTTGTTGTAGTTTCATTGTGTTGATTTTCTCACGGTAAAGCCTGCTTCCTGCTGTGCGATGTTTATTCTTATTGTGTACGCTTAGTAAGCTCAGCAAATTGAATGCTTGTTTTCTAAGTTTGGTCGTTAGTCTTGCTTATGTTTATACTTCTAGAGAACTTTTTTATGAGTTCCTTCCTCCGTCCTCTTGGTCTCTGGTCTCTCGCTTTATTTCTATTTTACATTTAAGAAGAGTCGCCGAGCGTGCAGAGTTTGTGAGCCCTCGTGTCACCATTTTGTTAGCGATTAATGCTTTGTTCTCTCTTGTGTATAGAAGATTTGGTTGTCAATTTATTTCTTATGAATTTTCAAGCAAGATGTGCTTCTGATTATTTTAGAATAATCTCTATTTTTCTACCCACTCGTTTGCTTCAAGATGTGTTGTGATTACACTCAAGTGTTGTCAGCTTGTGTTGGCCGAGTAGCGTGCCTTCGTCATCGCTCTGCATCCATCACGGCGTCTATGCAAGTAGCTATACAATATATTCATTATTATTATTATCATTATCACCATTGCTAATGTCTATACTTTTACGAGTTTCGTAATTTTTTAATTCAGGCTCTGACTTTGTCAGATGTTGTGTCATCGTTGCGGCCGCCACTAGCGATACAAATTATGTGACTAATTTCATAGGATCGCTGTAAAGGCTGACGAATTGTTTCTCTGCTACATTGAAGTGCATCAATTCGTAATGTTGCGGTGCAAAGGGCTTCTCAGTAAATTCATAAGTTCAGCCTGCCAGAGACACAAGTTTCCATTTCTGATTTATACGGCGGTGAATTATCGATTCATGGACCGCAATATTCCTCTCTTAAAAGTCACGTTAAAACACGGAGGCTCGTTTACCAATTACGTTTGCTAAGAATTTTAACTCCATTACTAAATGTTTAGAACCCTCCAATTTGATGCGAGGTAATTGCACTCTTAAACTAATAACAATACTTTGCTCCCCGTCTGATTGTCTGAGCTTTGGTGTTGATTCAGTATTTAGTGTGGAGACTTTTAGATTTATGATGGGTGGAATGTGTTATCATTACCATTACCATTATTTGCAATATTTTTGAACTCATGTAATTAGTTTCTAAACTTGAGTAGCTGTATATGTTCCCCTTTTGTTCGCGCGTTGATGAGGAAGAACTTAATGTGATGTTGTAAATTTTTCACTGCATTGTAGCAACTCCATTCCTACAAACTGCTTTACTTTTAAATTTCTGCCAATTTATTATTGCAATTTTCAGTTTTTCAGCTCGGTAAATGATATTTCACTTTAAAACTGATATATCAGGTCTATACAAAGAGTTGTGAGGCCAACCTACGTCGAAGAAACCAATCTTTGACCTCGCACTCTTTTACTCTATTCACTTGATGAGCGACTACTTACCGTTCATCCCAAGTCCTCAACTGCAGATGAATCACAGCCTCCATATCCTCACCGTATCATTCCACAATGCCTTATAACTCTTAAGATAAATAGCTCCATATCACGTTATTTTGTCTTAGGTCTCATCAAGGTTGTTAGTAAGTCGCATAGCGAAAGATCTAATTCTATCATAGTTGCAGGTGTTGAGCGTTTACTTTGCTGTACGTTAGAAAGAATATAGAGCTTTATTATCATTATGCAGAATATTAACGTTTGTACAGTATGCTAAGTGCAAATATTGCTTCAGTACCTCCGTGTTTGCCTCATGGTGTACGTGTTCTCTGTTTGGCTCGTGTTATACAAACTTTATACCTGTCAGAGAATGCAGGTTTCGGTGGAATTAATTTATGCAAGAATTATACATTATTGTTTCTTATGTCTTTTACGACGATGAGTTGAACCGATGAGTGAAATGTAGACTCGTCACCTACGGTCTCGGAAACGAGTTGCTCATGCCCTGTTGAAGCGCAAAAATTATTACCTTACAAAATTGGTGCCTTCCCTTGAGATTTTCTATAGCCTGCATGATTTCATCTAGAAGCAATTGTCAAATTTTTACAGTAGCTTGAAGTTCTTAGAAATCAAGTTACCATATTTTGATATTCCCATAAGTCCATGGTAACCATGGCAAATATGGCTCTATACTATGTATCTGAATCTGTGCCAATTTCAAGGCTATTCTTTTCATCTTCGATCCTAATTATAATCTTGAGCATTCAAATGCCCTCAATGCAAGACTTCATGGTAGTCATTAGCCTAGCCTTTGGCTGCTAGTTGTTCATTCCGAAATGTGAATGACTTCGGTCACGGATCCATCTCAGTCTAATTTATTTATTTCGTAATGATAGACGTGATGAGATTTATACATCTACCTGCCACGTTATTTCTTTACATACTTTGATATAATGCTACAGTGGAAACTTTGATTACTGTACCCTAGACTGACGCGGGTGATTGCAATCTAGGGTCTCTTTTGATTTAAAAATGAATGTGTCCAGTTTGTACATAGATTCGTCGTTATTCTTGTGAGTGCCTGGAAAATATATGTTATCGTATTATTTACTAAATATTATATAAAGTATAATAGTAATGGTGTGCAATCAATGATTCCGCGATTTTGTAAAAGCTCAGTAAAACATTTCTGAAGTGCACAATCTCGTCAAATTTATTGGCATTTTCGCTGATCATTTCGAATAATTTTATTTTCTGTTGAAAATTTCCACTATTCATTTTCTTTATTTGTATTCTGATGAAAAAACTATAATGATATGCAAATTTCCCTTACTGGCGTGAAAATATTTTCTACTCAGGACCTAAGATATTCCAAACGTGAATCAGTACCTAATTGCTGCTCTGGTTTGCTTTGTTCATCTATGATTAATGGAGCTATTTGATACACCCTTGAGAATGAAGTATTGACCTGCAATTATAGAGTTATGACCCGTTATAGTGGCTTGATTATGAAGGCATCTCGATACAATGTTCGGGATAAGTATCGTTAGAATTGCTATGTTATTTCGGCTTAGATCGTGTGAAGGCCGTTTCATTCGTAATTTTTCTCTTCTCTTTTAACTCGTATGTTTTATAGCACAAACTATAACCCCAGGTTTTATTTCAAACTATCGAGGAATGTAGGAGCGCCACTTGTTGATGTGTAAACATCTTCATCTGTTGATTGCACATTTATTAACAAAACAGATAGAAAAATTTCCTCTAACAGCTTTCGGGTCACGTATAAAAGATTTTAAATGTCCAGTACTTAGTACCGTCTCTTCTTACAGGTAAAATTTTAGGCAAAAAATCCGCCTATTTGTTTATAAAGCAGGCAATGTATTTGTTAGTAAATTGTTGAAAACGAATTATGTTGTATTCATTATCACAACAGCCGCTGAAATACGCCATGAAGAAGTGAACGTCGAGCTGATGTCTCGACTCGCCAAACCATACGAGATGATGCGAGAGGCCATCAAACCTAACTGTGTGCCACACGGCTATATAATGCTAATAAGTTTCATAGCCTCGCACATCTTGTATTGCTTGGACAAATTTTGCTTGTAAATTAGTTTACTCTTTGACACTGTTCTCCAACGCTAATCGGGCAGACGCAAATCGTCATTCATATTCGTTTCGCAGCAGCGTTCGCAAGTATCACTCACCCATAGCCCTTTGAGATGCTTCTAAGCAACCTCCAACTAAATATTTAGAAATGAAAGTAAGTGTTAAACATTATGCCCGGTTATTATTCCATAAGTTTTCTAATCTGGCAAAGAAATGTGAATTTAGGAGCAAGAGCATCGATCTAAGTTTTTTAATTCCGTCCAGATATAAGTTGAACTTCGCATGTATTATAAATGCGAAAAATTAATTAGCCTCCATTTATGTCCACTAAAACTTCAAAAACCTTGCTATCTAGATATATAAGATGTATTGCTCTAATGGTTCATTTGGTTTTATTTATGGAAAATCGCCGTCGTTGAAAATAAACGAATGTACAATTTGATTTCGAGTAGTTCATGCATCATAAGTTCAACACAGCAATAATTATCTTTTACCTAGGGTTTCTTTAACACCTTCTCTGAGCGTTCTCCAATGATTATTTGTTATTCCAAAGTTTTACCTGTAATGGTACTCATATAGAACTTCCTGTGATGAACTTCTACTGATTGACGAATGCATGTCGTTCATTTATAATTGTATTTGGTATTAACAGAACGAATTCAAGTTATTAGTTGTTATTACTACACCAATATGAACAGCATGTCTAAAATCTTTTTTTAGATCAAAAAATAACACGTCATCTTTGAAAAAAAAATTTCATGTGCGTTTTCAAATAGAACCTTTACACTTTCACAATGTTAGAGGTTTAGCGCCGGTTAAAAAAATCACTTATCGTGACGCAAGATTATTTTTATGATGAAGATAAGTGAAAGAGAAGCCCGTTAAACCCGTTAGGGCAATTAAGTTAAACCTTTTTAATCACGATTATAACTTATTTACTTGTAATTGTGATAAATAATAATTAATTAATTTAAAGTGTACTCTTGATCGCATCATTTGATTTGATTTTAGGAGGTAGCCTATTTGCCGGTTAGCTGATGCACATTGCTCAATTAGGTGAAAATTTAACGTAATCAGTCAGCTGAAAAGTAGAAGTGCACTCTACGTTATAGAAACTAAGGTCGTCCATGAAGACCGTTGTCAAGGTAACAGCTGCACCACGGATCAAGCAAACTAAGATAGCAATCATAGCATAGTGATTAGTGACATGGAGTCTAGTACTGTCTAGCCTCTAGGTCTAGCCACCGTCTAGGGCCTGAGTGATGTTATTGCAAATTGCTAAGATGGTGAATTGCTTGTCAGTTGTCAATGTCAGCTGGTGATGCAATACCTCTAGGCTCCTACTTACTCTAAGAGTGACAGAGTTTAAGTCATAAAAAGACAAGGGACAAGGATTAGGTATTCAATCATTTTTATCATTATAGCTACGGACTAAGCTACCTAGAATGAGGAAAATTTTGAAATTTAGGCTTACTGCTTATACTCTTTAGTATAGGTCTATAATCTATTAGCATTTAGCCTAATTAGTTAATATCGTCATAATGATAATAAATAGTAATGATAGAAAACATGATTATCATGTTGAAATAAAGATTACAATTTGAACCATAAATTCCTAGAATTTTTATTTCTAGTAGGCTACCAGCTACCTAGTGATAGCTAGGTGCTAGGCCCAGTTAGCTCCTACCTAATTTGTTTTTAACTAGTGTAGACTGTAGAGTTATTGTAATTAGGCTAATATTCATATAGATTTTTCATAAAAGTGGTAAATTAAATACTCTTACCCCTGTGGGCTGCGGGTAATTTGGGACACTTTTATTTTGCATCCGGCACCTTACAAATAGCTTTTTTTTTGGAAGATACCATACATTACAATAGCCATCACAAAGCGCTATAAAATGAACCCAAACTTGTTCATGATGATGACATGTTCCATGGTTTTAAGTTAGGCCTTATTGACAAAAAACACTCTAAAATGTCCTCTATTAACCTCATTTGACATACTGACATACTCAATAGTGAAACTGAAATACTTGACCCAGAGGGCAGAGGCCAGTCTTAACTTTAGGCATAATTTTCCAAAATGACAGATGTAGAAGATCATTTCATGGAAGATTTTGGAAAATCTCAAATAAAAATTTGTCATTTTTCCTTATATATAACTGAAGGGTTTTTTTGTCTTGCTTACAGGTGGGGTGGCTTCTGCCCTATTTTCCAGTTTGCCCAGAGGTTCCAGGAGGAAACTCTGCACCTAGTTTGAGACCTATGACTATAGATTACTGAAAAATATCTTGACTTTTAAATGCTTATCATTATGAAGAATATTAATGTTTGTACAGTATGCTAAGTGCAAATATTGCTTCAGTACCTCCGTGTACTGAAGGTTGCTATGGGTGCTACCTAATAGTTTTTCTCGATGAAGCTAATTTATGGTTCAATGATTATATTGTTGCTTTGTTTATATACCATTTTTTTATACTTTATTTCATTATATTCTATCAGAATAACCAAACATTTGCCTAAACACCTGAAATGGCTCCATTTTGTTTTAAAATATTATACATTGTTCCATGCAAGTACATGAAAATGGAGTAAAGTTTTCCAGCCTTTTTGTCAGATGTGTGTTCAACTTGTAACAATGATAATACTTTCTTAATTGATTTGATTTTTGAGCCATTCAATAGCTTGGTTTTATCATGAGTCAAAATTAAGTCAACATTTTGTGATTGTATTTGAAAACTTGGCATTGTTCTACTTTTCATTATTAGCTCTTTTACCCCTTTGAAAATGTTATTCATGCAATTTTTTTTTTACAGAATGAACCGACTGTCCTTATCATCCATCTGTAGAATTGTTAGGCTGCGATCTCCTCCCATGACAGCTCCTTGCTGCTTGCATCGATTGATCTATGAGCATAATACTTGCTTGAATCAACGTGAAATTTCCTTCAGAACTCTGGATAGCACTTATCAGTGGAAGAACTATTGCACGTAAGTTATAGGTACTCTTTTCATACTGTTGCAAAAAATTTTTGTATTTACTTGTATTTATTTTCACAGTTACATTAGTTTTTACCTTATTAATCCAAATGTGAATTCAAAACTATTGAAAATATACCTTATTTCAAAATCTTGTCAATTTAAAAGCTTTTGGAAGCAAAAAAAAAAAGCTTTTTTTGCACATCAATCTATGTGAATTTTGTAATGCATGAGATTTATTCAAGTGCAAAGTCTCTCAAGCTTGTTCCTATCTGTGATGAATGTGACAACATCTTGACTTGTGTCAGTTGTGTGTGCTTATGTTGGTTCCAATTTTACAATCATTTAGCTGATGCTGCACAGCCAATAGCAGCTTTTGGGGAATACTTAGTATTCACTTGAAATTGACCTTGTGTTCCTTCTACCAGGAAAAATGTATACATTTTGTGTGAAGACCTGCCAACCTGGATTTTTCCTGGACTGACTCGTAATTTACTTTGTTTTTATGTGGCCTTGGAGTTTTAGGTTCAGAGGTCAAGTGCTTTGAAACCGTTTTCTCTGTTCATCAAGAAAATAACAAGTTTTTAAGCTTGAACTTTTGCTGCTTAAATTCACAAAAATATAGTTTAGCTGATTATTCTTGCAATAGGAAGCTTAACTAGATTCTTTTTCTTTGATTTCAGCATCTCAGACTTGGCCTTTGAGAAGATCAGTGATGAAACTCTTGAGTCGCTCACAGAGTTCCTGGAAGCTTTAGTTGAACTGGAGTGTGCCCCTGTCGAGTCTGATGTATCTTTTTCGGTACGTTGCTCACCAGGATCACACGTCAATGGTGATATGGGTGGTATTCTACATTCTCCGCATAAAAATCATACATGATACACATTTTTAGTTTTTGACTAGCTAAGTTTTCAATTAATGTCATTATGTCTACATTTCTGTATAAGATAGGTACAAAAGGATTTGTGTTCAAGCACACTATTATATTTCACGATAATTATCTGTCATGTTGATAAGAATTAGCCTTAAAAAGTCTAGGTATGGTGAATTAATTACTAGTGTTCATTTACTACTGTTTGCGAATTGGGCCATCTACACTTGAATTCTATGTTCTTTTAATGAATGACCATTGATTTTTTTCGTTTTATTTACAGAATGGCGTGCTGACACTTCATCTTGGTACGCATGGCACCTACGTCATCAATAAACAGACACCTAACAGACAGATATGGTTGTCTTCTCCCACTAGTGGTCCTAAGAGATACGATTTCAGCGACAACACATGGATCTATAAACACGATGGAATTGCCATGCACCAACTCCTAATGAAAGAACTCTCCGATATTTTTCAAGAGGAAATCGATCTCACCAATTGTGCCTATTCTGTTGCTGATTGATATTTAATACTGAGCTGTTAACCTGTGTTTTTTTTATGCAAACTATTACCATACACTTTGTGTATGGTTTAACATGATGTAACTTTAGGATTTTTTTTTTTGTAAATACAGGAACTTGTTCCAAATGGCTGCCTTTTCATACCTTTTATTGCACTGTGTTTGATCCCTACTTTCAAAATGAACGTCGTAACATTGGACATATCTGGCATTACTAGTGCCTGCAAAGACTTTCTCACGGCTGAATGGAGTTCTTATAAGAAGAGCAGTGAGTGTAAAGTGGGTGTAGTCTGCATATATTCAGTGGGTGGACCTCGTGGGAACCCAGCCTCTGTTCTTGACAGTGTAGCGTGTGGCTTGCAGGAGTGTGAACTGCTGCTGAAGGATGTTGTTGATGCCAAGGTCAGTTCCATTTCATATAGTGGTGTTGCCAGCATTTTTATCTCAATTTAGCATTCTTAGCTTGAAGAAGCCTTCTCTCAAGTTGCCTGGCAAAGTATTAAATTATTTTTACCAAGTGTTGACTGAAAGTTATTCTCAAATATAATCTGCTGACGTCAACCATATTTTGTTCATGTTATAGGTAAAGCTCTTTCCGTTTGGGACTTGCTTCAAGGAAATCATTATCACAAGAGTATTGTAGTTTGATTCTCGAACATTTTTGTTACAAAGGTGGCGTCCGACTGTCCAGTTCTGGAGAGCGAGGTGGTCGTAGGAGCAGACTGTTCATTTTTCATCTATCCTGAGCGCCATAGGCCTGACGAAACGCCCTACACCAAAGCCTACACGGTTGGCCCTCCACCTCCGCCACCCGCAGGCAAGCGCAAGAAGGTCGTCATCAAGTCTGCTGAGGAACAATACTTGCTGATGATGGAGCAGGTTGGCAACTACATGCTCGACCACATCAAGAAGATGAGCCAGCCCGCCGTGCCATCGGGCAACATGAAAGTACAATACTTGCTTATTGCATCTGCTACCCTCATCAAAAATAGGCTGAACTACTACAAGGATATCCTTCGCTTGCCATCATCAAAGTGAGACGTGGATATGTTTTAAATATTAGCAGTTTTCTCAATTTACACTTCATTGTAGATTTAACTGATTTATTTAGTGGAGCATGATTCTTTCTTGGATCTTAGTTTCTCAAGCTACTTATTGCCTTGCTCAGTCATTGCTATATTACAGCTCTGTTTGTAATTTTTTTTAAACTTTCACAAAGAACTTGCATATAAGAGACCAAAAATAGTATATTTTATATTATTTATAATTCTTATGAAAATAAGTGTTTAAATTTTTAGCTCTGCTGTGAATTAATCATTAGGTGTACTCACAGTGCTATGTAATGCCGTGGTGATTCTAATTGTCCACATTGCTATCAGAACTTTCAGTGAGACTGTGAACCGTGCCTCGGAGCTGACAGAAGTGCTGAGTCAGTCAGTGTTTTATTATCAGTGTGAGCTGCTGCGCTCTAGTCTCATGCACGACACTGACAGTCATGACTGGCTCAGTGACAAACAATTTCAAGAAGGGGAGCAAATCTCCACTGCCGTACGCATGTGGATCTTCCATGTACAAGGTCGAATGAAATAAGGGAACTTTGTTTAGTAAATAGTCATGGACGACTTATCGAAATTGGTACAACATGGGTTGCTTGGTAGCATATGTCAAGAAGTTCTAAAGTTCAGACATATAACTTAATTGTTTCGCTTATCCTCAAATATTCTCATTTCTGTACCATGCGGTTCGATTCATACAGGATTTTTTTTCTGCAGCAGCGTGGTCTTTTTTCTTATCTTTTCATGCAAGTTAATGTTCTATACTGCAGGCATACGTAATGACCTGTACCGCTACTGCTCCCCTGCTGCCGCTCACAGTCTGCTGTCCAGCATCGTCAGCGACACTCTGAATATCCTCATCACGCGATACATGCAGGTACGTAATCTATCAGAGAACTCTATTTGTATGTACTGAAATGATTAAATGTGTTATGCCTGGTACTAACATTTGTATTTCTTTGACCTCACTTATATGGCTATTAGTAAGTTGCAAACCAGAGTGCGGGTGACAACACTCGCGCGTCAGTACATTGTGCCATTCATCATAAAAGATTATTTATTCATCAGGGCACTGATTTATTGATCTCAAGTATCATGGATTCATATTAGCTGTACAATACCGTACGTTATGGCTATTAGATATAGACGCTCTAGTAAAAGAAACTATAATCTCGTGTTTTTTACTTGTATTCATATGCTGAATAACATGCCTCAAATTTGTGCTGAGAATGTTCGAGAAATGATGCAGGACAGAACTCCTCGTTTCAATAGGTTGATAAACTCCTCCCTAAATTCGAAGCTTTATCTTATCCATAATGCGCTATTCCATGTTATTGTGTTATAAGGCGACACCAAGCGACCGGCGCGTCTTGCAATACCGAGGCGACGTGCTCGCCATCCTGGGCTTCGTGGCAGCGCTGCTGCCGTCGCTGGTGCGCCGGCCTGCCGAGCTGTTCACTGGCGAACTGCACCGCAGCGCCGTCCTGCCTCTGCACCGCCGCGCTCTGCTGCTCCTCTCCATCGCGGCTGTCAAGGCTGCACCTCTGCCGGTCCTTGTCAAGCACAGAAAGGCAAGGAGCATCTGTTCAAGCTGAAATGTTCTGATTACTCCACTGCGTAACATTCTAAGTAAAGATTGGGGCTCATAAAGGAATTAGTCGTAATTGGGAAGGAACATGATTGTGAGGTACGAAGTTGAATTCTTTTATTTTTCCAGTGGTTAACGTCTTTTCTAGTATTAACGTCTTTTTCTAGTGGTTAGAACGTTATTAATACGTCTTTTTCTAGTGGTTAGAACGTTATTACCTCGCCCCAAAATAGGAGCAATTAATCATTGCTAAAATTTAAGATATAAAAATAATAATATTTTCGCTTAACTTTCCTCAAGTTTATCGTAATATCTCGTGCATTGTTTTTGGCATTAAACTTTCCAGGCCCAGCTTCATCTACTATGGCTGACACAATTGTTTCATTCAAAGAAACGTGCTCAATCCTTGAAACCAACGGTTAATTCAAGACGTGCATTTCAGTTGCTGCAAACAAGCACCCTCCAAACGGACAGCGAAAGCAGCAGCGCCATCAACATCTGCTCGACCCCTGCATGGCTGACGTTCGTCAACAAGGAGCTATACCCGCCAGGGGTGACCCGCATAGTGCAGCTGCCCAGCAACGTCGCGACGCTGCACATGATGCTTGCGGCCGCCTCCAGCCCTGCTCCTGACTGGCCGCTTCTTGTCCGTGTAGGTTACTAATTGCTGATGACTGACCGCATTTGGAATTGGGAGGTTATTCGATCTACAAAATTGACGTTTTGTTACTAGTAGGTTTCTATTTTGTACTTACGTTCATTTACCAAATTTTATGATGTAAAAAAATGTTTTTTTAGGCTTCTATGTGTAGACTGTAGCAGTGTAACTCGAAATTTCAGGGATAAATAACTCCTGGAATTTGACGATCCGGTTGCTAAGTTTATAAATAAAACAATGTTAAAGAGAGAATTTTGATATAACATTCCCATTTAAATACGGTTTCAAAACGGTAAGGAAATGTGAACTTCTTTTTTAAATTGAAGAAATCTGCCCCCTTCCCAGCGTTATGTTTATTCCAAAATTAAAAATTAAATCTCAGATCCTGGTAATATCCTGATAGGACAGGTATTGTGGATACGCCATCGAAGAGCCCCAAACTCTACAGTGCCAGGCTGCAAACAAACTAATATCATTTCGAAAACGTGTAATAGATTTAATATTAGAAAAATATTAGTGTTCCAATTTTGACATTTTTAATTTTGTATTCGGTAAACAATGACTAGAAAAGTCATTTTCTTCACTTTCTTGCATTGAGGCGAAAAAAACGAAAATTTATTGATTGGCTATCATCATGCTAAAGAGCCAGACAAGAGACAGTGCCAATTTATTTCTAAAATATCTATAAATACTAATTCATATTAATTCTTAACCGATAAGAGTATTTTTTTAACCGATAAGGGACTTAAAAATTGTAATGCTCGTCAGAGTCTTGTACACGAGAGCCTGTTCGGGGCGCGAGCGCTGCTTCGCGGCCTGCGCGACTTCTGGTCAGGCGCGCGTCAGGAGCAGCCGTGCGGGGGCGCCCTGTGTGCTCCCCATCTCTGTTCCCCGCCGCTCACCCCCCAGACTGTCTACGCGGCTGTCGTTCAGGTTAAAAAATATAGAAAACGATTAATTTGGAAATTTATTATTGGTGAATAGTTTCTCCAACGTCGAATAGCATAAAAATTGATTGTTTTCATCATAGTGGTGCATACCATGCCGATACTTTCGATATAAGCATAATTACTTGTCAGGTGCTGAAACGTGTAGCTCAGCAGTGTAGAAATATTATATATTTTTAAACTAGGCTAAATTAAGAAATTCATTTCGAGACGAAGGGTCATCGATACTTTGTTTAGGCCGTACCATAGATTCATCGAGCCGCAGGAGAGTAGATAACATGCATTCAATTACAAATGACCAAGACAGTGTTTTATCTCCCAACAGATAGTGTATCGCTGTGCGGACGGACGTTATTTGCTCAGGCAAATTATGTTCCCGGATAAAATTAACCCAGCATCTTGGGACTCACTCGACCAAGCTCAGGTTTGGCTTGTTACACTCATTTACTGTTAAATGAATAACTAGAACGTATTATGCTCTCATCGTCTTTCTGTTGTCGAGATTCTTCGCTTCTTATTGCGATCTAAGGAATCGTGATCAATCTCCATTTTGATTCATACTTGAAACAACGCGTCGCAGATCCTCGTCAAGACTCTACATTACATATCCCCAGTCCAATAAGGCAAAAGATATACCCTCTGACAATAAGACGGAATTCAATATCCCTGTTTCCATTAACATATAAGCGTCATTATCATACTCAGTTCTTTGAATTTACTTGCATTTTATGTATTAACTGCCCAGGTCTGGAACAGCCAACGGCCGCCGTGGCATCACGTCCTCGTGCAGCTGGCCGTACCTGCAGTGCTGCCGGCCGTGCAGCAGGTAATTTAGCCTCGGCATTAATATGTACGTGTGAGCCTTGTACGTTTCTATTCACGTTTTTGTTCTGCTATTTTGTTTTTTTTAATCATTTCAGCGAGTTGTTTCCCAAGAAGTTGTTCTTCGGGAGGTGTTGGTTATGATCACGTTGTTTTATTCTCATGACATTTCCTTGTTAAAGTAATGTAAATCAGCCAAGTTTTTTAATTTTTTGTCAACGCCTCACACATAAACTGTGGTTAATTTAACCCTGGCATTTTCTGCAGGTGGTACGCACTCTACCAGCCGAGGCCCCAGCACAGCCCGCCCACCCCGGCCAGCTGTCAGTGAGGTTGGAGCATCACCTCACTACTTGGATATTGCAGCTCCTCAGAGGTGCGGCTCATCTTATCCCTTTAGAAACCTTAAACATCGCCAATGCTATTTGTATCTGTTGGCATGGCAAATAGAGGATAACTTCAGTAAAGGTAAAGTTCCCGGGTTAATCCTTCATATTCGAAATTTTGGTACTGCTTATTCACCCTTATCATCAGGACTCGGCATCAAATATCCCAAGTACTTAAAGTAAATAAGCAACAAAGTCTTGTGTTGCGACTCTTTACGTTGATATAAAATGACTGGCGTCAAGATTAACGTAATTTTACACAAATTATTACCTAAGAGTTGTATCATAAGGTAATAGATTATTATAAATTTTAATGCGAGTTTGTCCGTCTAGGTGTGGAAGCGGCCGCTGACGACATTCCTGAGAGCCTCATCGAGGTGTGCGCCGCTATGGACGCCGCCGTGCCTGCTGCTGTCAAGCCCGTAGGCGGCCACGTGAGTAGCCCGACTGATCAATATATCTTCTTGGAATACTGACAACTGGTATCAATTAAATTACTGATACATTTTAATCCCAATGGTATGATCATGACATTCTTTTATGACATCACTGGTTTTGTAAGCGAGGATTATTAGTTACGTGCAGGGAGATTGCCATGAGATTGAGTTCACCACAACGCCAGAGGCTAAACTACATAAATACCTACGACATTTTCATTGAAAAACATGCTAATAGCCCAGAAAATTTGTCAATTTCATTGAAATGTTTTATTATTTGCCCTTTAAACAGTTACGTTTATTAAAATATAGGCGACACCCTAAGAAGTATTTTAAATTTCGACATCCTTAAAAGTCTATTTTCATTGCGAACAGGTGATGAGCCAGGTGCTGGTAGAAGCGCTTTACAGCGTCATCAACTCGCGCTCGAGCGTGTCCCAGCTGAGCGAGAGTAGCAAGGGCGTCACTGAGGACCAGTGGAACATGCTCACCGCCATGGCCGAGCGCTTGTGTGCCCTGCACTCGGATGCATTCATCGCTGCCCTCCATGCTATAAACTCAGCCACGGCTTTCAGGTAGAGGCCTGAGAAATTTGTACCACTAAATATTCGTGCTTCTCATTGCGGTTAACTAACAGGTACTTACTGCTAATTCCGAATTAAAGCGACCACGATTTGCTTCTTGACAGTTCATAATGAATTTTTATACGCGGGTCCTTTATGTTGACAATTGCAAATAGAATTTCCTGTTAATTTTGTCATAATCTGTCATGTTATTAGTCATGCGCCAAATTTTGCTGTTAGAGTTTGCCTGCTTCCTGAAATAATTGGATTTATTATATAAACAAATGGGATTTCGTTTTTCTGTGTACCCTCGTTCCCAAATAGACTTTCATAACCTCTCTTGGCTAAGTTTTAATTTTCTTTGAGGCTTGGGGAGGAAGGAGGGAATGAAAAAGACCGTGCTGTCCCCAATCCTTTGTCAACGTTTCCTGACGAAGAATTAGCCGAGGCTGTTGCCGAAAGTCTCGCATCACAAGTCCTAGCAGCTGTCCAGGGACAGCACGCGTTGGGAGTAAGTCTCTGCTCCAGCGCCCGCACTCTTTGAAATTGGATGACCATTGCAGGGAGCATTTTCATTATCATTGAATAGGCTACTGTAGCATATATAACTGTAATGTCATTATAATCTTTAAAACGGAGTAACTTTTGTGCAAGATTGGAACAAGAAGAATGGACATCGAATGGTTCATGATCTTTATGTTGACTATTCAGGTAATTCAACTAAATTTGCAGGAAATCTATAAGCTATACCAATAAGATAGATTTATTAGCTGCATTATGCACAATACTATCACTTGTTAATGATAACAAATTTATTACAATATCTGAAGAAAATTTACTTGACTCGCGATCTGTTCAATTATTATTCATTTCCAAATAATATATCGTTGATGCATGGATGCAACATTATGTATAGATTTGATTATTATTACTGCTGGTCCGGGGTCCTGTTATACAAGCTGACTAATATATAGTAACACTATACGAGACCCCTAGCCGAAACTGTTTAACCTGATCTAACTATAACAAATATTCGCGATGCGCAGATCGTGCGTAAATTCCTCCAGCACAACATGGAATGGGTGCAACAAGTGCTAGACGTCCCAAGCCTGCTTCCCTTGGACCAAGATCTCTCTCCTCGTTCTCCCTCACTTGTTTTTGCACCTGAACCCCTCATCTATAATCCGCTTTACTACCATGCAATGTTATTCTACGCCAAATTTCAACAGGTAAGAGTTTATTCAATTTGACAGTTAGTATTTTCTATTTGCCACGATAAGATAACAGTAAGTGGTTCTCATTGCCGGTATATCTAAAATGTTCTTTGAAATTTCAACAGATGCAAAGAAGTACTGCTAATGCAAAGTTAAGAATTCGTATTAGTATTAAAATTATTGCAAAAGCCACACGATCAACTTTGTCCTCGAAATAAGTATTCGTTAAAAGAGCCATAACATTTTTCTATACAGGGAGGTATATTACGTCACGAGTGTAATTGGGACCTGGCGCTGACGGTGGCCAGTCAATGGCTGCCTCCTGCGGCGGTGACGGCGCTGGTGGCCACGCGTTGCGAGCTGCAGCCTGACGCTATACTCACTCTGGACGAGAAGGAGGCTGTCGCGACCATCGCGCCTCTGCTCGATACGCTGCATGAAGAATAAATTTACTCGTGAACGATGCTTTACTAGACAATAGCTATCATAAGATGTCGAATAGTTAGTTAGCATGCCGTAATGTTATGATCGAAATTATACTTTAGTATAGAATGTAGAAAAAGGCAAGACAAGCATGATCATAGTTGAAAAAGTTAATTAAAGCAATCATTAATTATAAACAATTTTATTCAATGTTGTATTAATTCATGGGCTTGGTGCCAATGAGAACAATCATCACGATAAACTAATGATGCAAAATTTTTACTTTTTTCCCGCTGAAAAATAGCTATGTTCCGCCAAATATTTCACCAAGTATAAATAAAATACCTCATTGCCTCTTCTGAAGAAGGTAATTTTTTTACATACCGTTATTGGAAACATTGAAAAACTCTCATCTTTCGCCCCGTACCTATAATTTACTAAAGTTTGTCAGGATTTAACGTAATTTATACATCAATATTACTCATGCTCATTACCCAAGTTAATTTGTTTTACTTCATAAAATGAGTCATAGTCAAGCTGCAAGTAATAATATGGAATGGAAGTTACAATTATACTCTTTCGCTTGATGTTTCGTTTCTACAAACTGGACGATGTTGCTTATAAAATGTAGTCCCACTCTTACTGTATTCCCGTATGTGGGGAAAGTAACGGCATTTTTTCCACCTTTCATAGGCCTACAAGAATCAATTTTATTGAGCTGCCTTCCGCGACTATAGTTACCGACCTTTTACTCACCTCACGTGGAATGGGATGCCTCGTGGTTCATTCACGGCCAAAAATCTTCTACGGGATAAAAGCGCGTGATAATCGTCCTGTTATTCCAATCTCTGTGTTTTTGCATGAATAGGAAAGCAGTCTCGGCGTCAGTGCAATTTCGGTAACGAATGTAGAGCGCAGCTTCTTCACTGGCAAGTTTTTTCTTAACAATGCAACCGAAGTTTCCAAACTTGGCTATAAGATTCTTTAAGTCTGGAATGTATCGGATATGCATTATTAAAAATATTGTTTTTTTCATGGTTTTTCTCATAGAAAAATAAAACGAAGCCACTCTGAAATGTTAAACCTTGCACGATAAAAGTATAGAAGTAAAAGGAAATTGCAATTTTTAATACCGTCGATTGCAAGATATAATTTGATCATTTGTTTGGCCCATGTGTCAGAACACTCGTGATTGGACTCAACAGACATGCTGCAGCAACCTTTAAAAAATAACAGTTACGGCACGCTACGGTCACATATCTTGGAAATATCAGGTTTCACGTTTATTTGCGAAATCAATAATGAAATATAGGAGAATCATAACGTATTTTAGCCGAGTTGCAAATAGTTCTCGCAATTAATTCGCGTGTCTCGAATATCGAGTGGCTTAGTGGTTATGAATCTGATGTCCCCCCCCTTAGACAAGCTAGATAAAACAGCAAATGAGCGACTGGCAGTACTTAAATCGTGCTATCGAACACGCTACGCCACAATGCGAGCCTGCAAGTTCATCTTGTTTTAGCACATTATAAATGATACATTACATTATAAATTAACCTCAACCAAAACTTTCATTGATCCTCCGATATCAGGAATAGCCCCAGTTGAAGAGTTATCAAATAGATATGCCAGTGTGCTCAGTCAACTTTTTATCAAATGTTATTTGAACTGTGGGACAGTTTTGTCCTAGCCGAGACAATCACAGCTGAACTGAAGAAAAATAAGTACGTAATGAAATAAAGCAATTAATAATGAGAATATGAATATGTCGGATACTGTAACTCACCAGGTTCTTTTTCCCAGCGGTCACAGACATTGTCGACCCTGAGAACAGGGGACGGCAGCGTCATCATGTCCTGATGCGAAGGAGTACCCGCGCCTTGCCATGACCCGCAAAGCTCTTCTGCAGTTGCACGCTCTTCAGGCACCACTCGTAAACACCTGTGCCACAGGCTCGCATAAGAACAACAGCATTACGGTATATCACGTTCAATGACAGCGTTGACAGATTATCTCTTACAGAATCATTTTAAAAAAATTGCTTCCAACTATCTTCATGCTTTCGAATAAAATTTGGATAGATTTCAAAAGGAGAATGTGCCCTTTTAAAAATACTAACTCACCTGTCTAACTTGTCAGCAACGCAGGCATCAATCGAATATCGGAAATTGAAACTGATTTGATGATAGGAGTATTTTGAGAGAATAGAGGGAACCGAGTCATTTTCCTGGTCTATTGCTTTGTTAATACCTTTTCAGAAACTGTAGTAAGTCTTGGCAGAACTCGCGGGAATATCGTGAAGTTATTTCTCTAATTCTATTGTCAAGAATTCTGTCGACAGCAGACTGTTCTTCAGGCCCTCCGTTAGGGAACAAAGGACGCCCAAACGCAGCCTGGAATGAACGATAAAGTTGAAAAAATTAAAAAGATTAGTTAATCATACCAAGGTTCAATCATTTAAATGAATTTCTATCAAGCCCCGGAAAACATTTCTGAGCAGGCGGGAGGTTTGGACATGCCAGGCTAGTATCGAGGTTTGGACTCTTCTCCTAGTATGGCGAAGAGTCGATGATTGGGATGACGAGGCTAGTCAAGATATTATCATATGCACTGGCTTATACATAGCCTACAGATATCCATCAACTCTTCTCAGCGACAAGCTATACCGTACGGAATGAGTTCCTATTCGTTATCTGTTCTTCAGAACCCGTTTTGATAATTCTATATATTAATGAACATACATAGAATAATTTAAATATCTACCAATATACTAAAAGGGGTACTTGCAGCACTGATGGAAGCTTTTTTTTAAGCAATATTATTTTAAATTAGAATAATCACATGAGCTCGGCGGCTATATTCATTTGATCAATTGTAATTGTAATACAAGAAACTGTGCAACAATTTTAAACCAATTACAAGAAAGTAGTGAAATAAATTTAAATTTTTTCCTCAATATTTAATTCATAATATGTACAAGAAGATAACCATTGGAGCCATATCAATGCCTGAACACTTTCAGACGTCGTCACTTAGAAATCTACGACACATTATTCATGAAAATCTTCGAAGGTACAGGGTTCTATTAAATCGTACTAAATTCTTCGTAGGTGTTAGACGATTGAAAATTAAATTACCGATAGACATTTTTAATATAGAACGATGTTTCGAATGTACAACATTCATTTTCAAGTTAAAGACGCATTGAGTAACGAAATTTGGGTTGACATATGTACGAAATTAAGTAAATTGGATACAAATCAAATAATGCTAAAATTTCGTTAATGTGATACTACAGGAAGATTTCACAAGAGCAAAAAACTACTCGTAAAACACTCTCAAAGTTCTGACGAAGCCGGTGGTTTGAAGGCTGATAGCTGGAGTCCTCTCCTTAAGTATGAGGGCCTCAACTATCGCCAGTCGTATAGGATCGGGACATCGCATAATGATACTGGAGCATTCTTCCAGTATCGGGCGAGTGAGGGTCTCGTTGTGGGCCTCCTTCAAGTGATTCCTTGGTCCCCCGGACTGAAGGTGGCAGGTGAGACGTCGGCTTAGAGTCGTGGTTGTAAACTTGAAAATGAATGTTGTACATTTGAAACGTCGTTCAATATTAAAAATGTCTATCGGTAATTTAATTTTCAATCTTCCAACACCTACGAAGAACTTAGTACGACTTATTGAAAAAAGTAACAAGAAGCTAATAAATAAAACTAATTCTCTGGTCTTTAACAAAACTTGCTCAAGAGAAGAAATTCTGCCAGCCTACACTAATGTTCTATTAAAGTAGATTGTTTACACAAACTGAGGCAATATTCCACCATTAATTTTCCAACTATTAGTTTTAATACAGGGGATCATAAGAAAATTTAAGGTTTTCTCATAAAGTGCATTCCGTAGTTAAGATCACAAATAGAAGAAGACTAAACTAAAAACCTGACGTATTTTCTATAAAATTCCTCTTATTTTCACAATCTTACATTAACACGTACTTTAACGAAATTTACCATAAAAATTTTAATGTATTTTCTTTATGGGGAAAAGTTCTCGGTGATTCCACCAAAGCAATTAAGTAACGGCTTCACACCTTGGCCAAAGTGCAGCCAAGCGCCCAGATATCGGCAGGCTGGCCTGGCCGAGCCACGGCTTCATACTTCAACTGCGCCGGCAACGGGTGGGCGGCCACGAGCGCGTTCCAACTCATCACTTCAGCAGCTGAACATCCTGCTTGGATACAATCAATGATTTACACTTTGTACTACATTAAATTCTGTACAGCATAAAATTTAACCGGCATACAATCAATTTTAACAAACTAGTCTCGTGCGTTTAGTTGGCCAAATCTATAAAACCATTCTCAGTAATTTTCCCATTAAAAAAAATTGGATTTTGTGCTGAATTAATTTATAGTTGACTAATAAACTAACAGAAGCACGGCAACCAATCTAGGTTCACGCATCCACAGGACAAATAGCTTTACTCCAGTTTGTTTCTCATTTGGAGGGCAGTTGAGCAGTGATATAATGTTAACAATATTGGCATATACATTTCAAAAGATAAGAAAACGAGTGAGAGATAGTTATACAAAGAAGAAAAAAAACAAATCAAAGGAAAAATAACCATTGTTTAGAAGGCCTGTGCACAGACAAAGAATAGTGCTTTCAATATTGTTGAATATTCGACTGAAAAATGAATATGCATGCAAGCTAACAAATGCTGAGTGCACCTCTGCTGTGAACCATGAAGTTATATCGTTCATCAACTCTTGAGCTGAGGCCAAAGTCAATGAGTACGAAGACCAAACGCTCAGCACACCACATCACATTCTGGAGCTTCATATCTCCATGTACCAGACCAGCACCGTGCAGTGACTTCAGACCTCTGCAAACATACATAATAATTAATAAATGCCATCTAAAATTTTCTGTACAGCATTAAAGTTTCTGATTCATGAAGCAGAAATCTAATAATAACCAATTAGAAATATGAATAGTAAAGAGGGGCTTAAAAATACACACTGCCAACCTATCAAAGTCAGCGTCATATTAATGAAATAGGTTTAAATTTTTAAAATTGATTTCTTGCTGATGCAAAACAAATTATATATTATCAAACAGGGAATTAAAGGTGATACAATGACATACATTCAATGCATTCACAATTAGAATTAAAAACTATTCAACACACCTGGCAACATGAGTAGCAAATGTAGCCAACAGCCAGGGTGAAGGGAAATCAGAATCGGTGATAAAATCAGGCAAAACTGAGTCTGCAGTGCCTGTGAGGATCTCCAGTACCAACACGTCCCCTACTGTAGCCTTTGCATGAGGGGCATCACCCATCTGATGGACTGTAAATTATTTTCATGCCTAAGACAAAATCACAAGAGACAATATTTGAAAAACAATACTGTATGAAAAAATTAAATAAATTTATGCAGTAGACTATAGAGCTAGCACTCAAAGTGAAGCCTTTGGCCACCAAACTTTCTTGAACAATTTGAATATAAGATTTAATTACATAATTGAAGTACAGAAGTGAATCAAAGTTTTGAATTCATCAATGGGATTCTTCAGTAAATGTAAAGTTTGTGGTATTATTTGCTGAATTATCCAAGTCAAGACCCAGAAAAGGTAGAAGCATTGATCAATTCTGTAAATAATGATTATTAAAATTTTTTTTAATTCTGGCTAGTAGGAACAAACATTAAAATTTCTTGAATGCATTGTTAAGAACAGAAAAAGAATTCATGTAATTCATAATACCGTAACTAATTAATTAATAAGACATAGTACAAAAGAAATCAGTGACATAATATTCCAAAGTATGAAAACTAAACCGTACATCAATGAGACATCTGTCTTTTACAAAAAATAAGATACATAAGCCAAGAATCCAGCTCTACTTAAAATTCATTCATAATAGATAGACATTCTTGTATACAATTTATGAATTCAGGTACAAAATTTAAATCAAATTCATTATGATTTTCTTATATTTTTAATTAGATGAAAAACATTGTTAAATGATAATTTAGAAACAGGCATAGCAATATTCACATACCAATGTGCTTATCTCCAGCAAGAGCATTGAGCACCATGAGTTCTCTCTGCAGAGCTCCTTGGTAATACTGATGTCCACTGAAGAATTTCAAAGCCACAAACAATGGACCATTTGATGATGAAGTTTGAGACTGCCCCAAATGAACAGAGCACACCCTGTCAACAGATCATCATTAGAGACTTGTTCTATCTTTTACATAAATTTTTATTTTAAGTTTGAATAATGCATATGTAGATCTTTGAGGCAATTTTGATTTTGATCTTTTTGTTTTTGTTTAAACCATAAGCTTCAAGATCAACCTTGAGACGAGTTTATTTTGAATAGCAATTAGAATACCATTTAACGGGGTGATAACGGATGGTTTTGAGCATTTTTTTGTTAATTACTTCTTACAATGAAACATTTCATATACAAGTTTGAACTCATTTCAAAGGTCTTCGCAATGGCTATTGCATGGCATCTCCAAAAAAATTCATATGCTATTTGTAAGGAGCCAGACACTTTAAATAAAAGGACACTTGAAATCCAGGACACTTGAAATAAAACTTAATTTTAAAGCATTTGAAGCATGCATGTTTCAACAGTACTCTGAAGTCCTCCTCTTCCTTTGTAGATGATGTAGATGTAGAATAATTGACATCTTTGATTTTTACTCATTTTCCCTTTATTGATATTATTTTACCATATGTATATCCATACATTACCGCATTGATTGATGTGATATTACTGTATCCATGAACATGCCATTGAGCACTTACAACAACCTTGTCCACTGCAAGCTTCAAATCAGCAGCCATATAGCATTTATTTTGTATCTGTAAGCTTACAGAATGGCAAGTAATTTCACACCATTTTAATTGGGTAAGTGAATTCACTATAACAAAAAAAAGAGCAATAGATCTGATATGATCTTATTGCATCCTCAGTAACACGATAGAAAGAAGAAAAAAATCATTTTTTAAAAATCTTATTTCTGATGGTAGAGGGTTAAGGAAAACAATATTTTAGTTGATTTCCATTCAAAGTTCATACAATTCTCAACCAGGAGAAGTAGGTACGTGTTCCCACTGGGTTGCTGCAATGAAAACACCACAACTGTGTAGTTTTGCTTTGATCATCATATTATGGTTGTGTCAGGTGACAATGTTGATACCATTCATCCCTAGATATTTCCTGATTGATGTCATCCTTGTTGAAAGATAACCTCCCTCACATGCCATATGTTCATAAGCATTTCCTTGTATTAGCCTTTCCTGTTTATCAAGTCACACCAAGATTGCCATAGCCATGGAGGCTATGGCAATCTCCACTCCTCTTAACGGCTCACCCCTCTGTATCATCAATGTATACATCCCACTGGCCTCCTCCTGCCCCCCGGGATACTCCCCAGAGCTCACGGACATTATCTCCACCCTGGGAGACTGCCTGATAGTGGGCGATTTTAATGCCCACCATCCCTCCTGGTTCTCCCACACGGAAGACCAGAGAGCCGCAGCGCAAGGAACTGCAGTCGACGACCTCGTCGCTGGTTCCTCCCTTGCCTACCTCAATGAGGACTCAATACCTGCCTCCCCTCGCATGGCCCGCCCTCCTCTCCAGACCTCGCCATCATCAGCGGTCACCTACTCCTCAGCACCTCCTCGCCATCATCAGCGGTCACCTACTCCTCAGCACCTCCTGGGCTCCACAAGTTGCCCTCAACTTGGACCACCTGCCCATCCTGATCCATCTCCCTTCCTCTGCTGATTCCCCAACCCCCCGGGCCGCCCGCTTCTATGTCAACTTCAAAAAAGCTGACTGGCCTGCCTACATGGCAGCCATTGAAGCAGCACTCAAGACGGTCCTTCCCCCCACAACCTTGTGTGGAGAGTCGACCTTAAGGGAAGTCCTGACGACCGCTACCAGACAGCATTTCCCTGCTGGATTCAGGAAGGACTTCTCCCCATGGCATTTTCAACCCTAGCACCCGGTTGCTCATGGAGCAACGTGATGACATTAGGGCGAGTAACCCAACCGACCCACGGCTCCCAGATCTCAACCTGGAAACAGGCCTCTCTATACAAGCCCACACCAGGAACACATGGCAGACACATCTTGGCCAGTGTGGAATTCTAGAGGGATATTAAATTATTCAGTACACATAACATATTGGAAAGCAGGACCAAAAAGCTTGGAAAGGCCAGGAACTTTCCACTTTCAGTCCATTATTTGCATATCCTATCCCTTTCCAGAATTCCATCTGTGATTGGTTTGTGATATTAGCCACTTTCAGCTTTCCAGCTGTGATTGGGTAATGGAATTGTAATGTTATCTGCTTTCTAGCTGTGATTGGTTGATGGAAATGCTTTCAGGCTGTGATTGGTTGATGGGGATGCTTTCAAGCTGTGATTGGTTGTGTCCATAAGCCCCACCCCCAAGTATGGTATATGTACTACAGTACTGGTTGACTAAATACTCAACTGAAACTTGATTATTACAAACAAAAGGCCTAGAAATTTTTTTAAAAATCCATTAAATAACAGACAAATGAACAATATCTATCAAACAAGAGATTTGGGGCGTGGTGACTCTGAGAGAAAGAATTTCAGGGTCAGGCCTTTGCAACGGCCATCAGCCACGCATCACATTTTCATTTGTTAGTAAGAAGAAGAAA